TCTATCTGCTCATGGTGTGAGAGTACACTCACTGTCGGATTGTCTATCTGCTCATGGTGTGAGAGTACACTCATTGTCAGACTGTCTATCTGCTCATGGTGTGAGTGTACACTCACTGTCAGACTGTCTATCTGCTCATGGTGTGAGAGTACACTCACTGTCAGACTGTTTATCTGCTCATGGTGTGAGAGTACACTTACTGTCTATCTGCTCATGGTGTGAGGGTACACTCACTGTCAGACTGTCTATCTGCTCATGTTGTGAGAGTACACTCACTGTCAGACCGTCTATCTGCTCATGTTGTGAGAGTACACTCACTGTCAGACTGTCTATCTGCTCATGGTGTGCGAGTACACTCACTGTCAGACTGTCTATCTGCTCATGGTGTGAGAGTACACTCACTGTCAGATTGTCTATCTGCTCATGGTGTGAGAGTACAATCATTGTCGGATTGTCTATCTGCTCATGGTGTGAGAGTACACTCACTGTCAGACTGTCTATCTGCTCATGGTGTGAGAGTACACTCACTGTCAGACTGTTTATCTGCTCATGGTGTGAGAGTTCACTTACTGTCTATCTGCTCATGGTGTGAGAGTACACTTACTGTCAGACTGTCTATCTGCTCATGTTGTGAGAGTACACTCACTGTCAGACTGTCTATCTGCTCATGGTGTGAGAATACACTTACTGTCAGACTGTCTATCTTCTCATGGTGTGAGAGTACACTGACTGTCAGACTGTCTATCTGCTCATGGTGTGAGAGTACACTCACTGTCAGACTGTCTATGTGCTCATGGTGTGAGAGTCCACTCACTGTCAGACTGTCTATCTGCTCATGTTGTGAGAGTACACTTACTGTCAGACTGTCTATCTGCTCATGTTGTGAGAGTACACTCACTGTCAGACCGTCTATCTGCTCATGGTGTGCGAGTACACTCACTGTCAGACTGTCTATCTGCTCATGGTGTGAGAATACACTCACTGTCAGACTGTCTATCTGCTCATGTTGTGAGAGTACACTTACTGTCAGACTGTCTATCTGCTCATGGTGTGAGAGTACACTCACTGTCAGACTGTCTATGTGCTCATGTTGTGAGAGTACACTCACTGTCAGACTGTCTATCTGCTCATGGTGTGAGAGTACACTCACTGTCAGACTGTCTATGTGCTCATGGTGTGAGAGTACACTCACTGTCAGACTGTCTATCTGCTCATGGTGTGAGAGTACACTCACTGTCAGACTGTCTATCTGCTCATGTTGTGAGAGTACACTCACTGTCAGACCGTCTATCTGCTCATGGTGTGCGAGTACACTCACTGTCAGACTGTCTATCTGCTCATGGTGTGAGAGTACACTCACTGTCAGACTGTCTATCTGCTCATGGTGTGAGAGTACACTCACTGTCAGACTGTCTATCTGCTCATGTTGTGAGAGTACACTCACTGTCAGACTGTCTATCTGCTCATGTTGTGAGAGTACACTCACTGTCAGATTGTCTATCTGCTCATGGTGTGAGAGTACACTCACTGTCGGATTGTCTATCTGCTCATGGTGTGAGAGTACACTCATTGTCAGACTGTCTATCTGCTCATGGTGTGAGTGTACACTCACTGTCAGACTGTCTATCTGCTCATGGTGTGAGAGTACACTCACTGTCAGACTGTTTATCTGCTCATGGTGTGAGAGTACACTTACTGTCTATCTGCTCATGGTGTGAGGGTACACTCACTGTCAGACTGTCTATCTGCTCATGTTGTGAGAGTACACTCACTGTCAGACCGTCTATCTGCTCATGTTGTGAGAGTACACTCACTGTCAGACTGTCTATCTGCTCATGGTGTGCGAGTACACTCACTGTCAGACTGTCTATCTGCTCATGGTGTGAGAGTACACTCACTGTCAGATTGTCTATCTGCTCATGGTGTGAGAGTACAATCATTGTCGGATTGTCTATCTGCTCATGGTGTGAGAGTACACTCACTGTCAGACTGTCTATCTGCTCATGGTGTGAGAGTACACTCACTGTCAGACTGTTTATCTGCTCATGGTGTGAGAGTTCACTTACTGTCTATCTGCTCATGGTGTGAGAGTACACTTACTGTCAGACTGTCTATCTGCTCATGTTGTGAGAGTACACTCACTGTCAGACTGTCTATCTGCTCATGGTGTGAGAATACACTTACTGTCAGACTGTCTATCTTCTCATGGTGTGAGAGTACACTGACTGTCAGACTGTCTATCTGCTCATGGTGTGAGAGTACACTCACTGTCAGACTGTCTATGTGCTCATGGTGTGAGAGTACACTCACTGTCAGACTGTCTATCTGCTCATGTTGTGAGAGTACACTTACTGTCAGACTGTCTATCTGCTCATGTTGTGAGAGTACACTCACTGTCAGACCGTCTATCTGCTCATGGTGTGCGAGTACACTCACTGTCAGACTGTCTATCTGCTCATGGTGTGAGAATACACTCACTGTCAGACTGTCTATCTGCTCATGTTGTGAGAGTACACTTACTGTCAGACTGTCTATCTGCTCATGGTGTGAGAGTACACTCACTGTCAGACTGTCTATGTGCTCATGGTGTGAGAGTACACTCACTGTCAGACTGTCTATCTGCTCATGGTGTGAGAGTACACTCACTGTCAGACTGTCTATGTGCTCATGGTGTGAGAGTACACTCACTGTCAGACTGTCTATCTGCTCATGTTGTGAGAGTACACTCACTGTCAGACCGTCTATCTGCTCATGGTGTGCGAGTACACTCACTGTCAGACTGTCTATCTGCTCATGGTGTGAGAATACACTGACTGTCAGACTGTCTATCTGCTCATGGTGTGAGAGTACACTCACTGTCAGACTGTCTATCTGCTCATGGTGTGAGAGTACACTCACTGTCAGACTGTCTATCTGCTCATGGTGTGAGAGTACACTCACTGTCAGACTGTCTATCTGCTCATGGTGTGAGAGTACACTCACTGTCAGACTGTCTATCTGCTCATGGTGTGAGAGTACACTCACTGTCAGACTGTCTATCTGCTCATGGTGTGAAAGTACACTCACTGTCAGACTGTCTATCTGCTCATGGTGTGAGAATACACTCACTGTCAGACTGTCTATCTGCTCATGGTGTGAGAGTACACTCACTGTCAGACTGTCTATCTGCTCATGGTGTGAGAATACACTCACTGTCAGACTGTCTATCTGCTCATGGTGTGAGAGTACACTCACTGTCAGACTGTCTATCTGCTCATGGTGTGAGAATACACTCACTGTCAGACTGTCTATCTGCTCATGGTGTGAGAGTACACTCACTGTCAGACTGTCTATCTGCTCATGGTGTGAGAGTACACTCACTGTCAGACTGTCTATCTGCTCATGTTGTGAGAGTACACTCACTGTCAGACTGTCTATCTGCTCATGTTGTGAGAGTACACTCACTGTCAGATTGTCTATCTGCTCATGGTGTGAGAGTACACTCACTGTCGGATTGTCTATCTGCTCATGGTGTGAGAGTACACTCATTGTCAGACTGTCTATCTGCTCATGGTGTGAGAGTACACTCACTGTCAGACTGTCTATCTGCTCATGGTGTGAGAGTACACTCACTGTCAGACTGTTTATCTGCTCATGGTGTGAGAGTACACTTACTGTCTATCTGCTCATGGTGTGAGGGTACACTCACTGTCAGACTGTCTATCTGCTCATGTTGTGAGAGTACACTCACTGTCAGACCGTCTATCTGCTCATGTTGTGAGAGTACACTCACTGTCAGACTGTCTATCTGCTCATGGTGTGCGAGTACACTCACTGTCAGACTGTCTATCTGCTCATGGTGTGAGAGTACACTCACTGTCAGATTGTCTATCTGCTCATGGTGTGAGAGTACAATCACAGTCGGATTGTCTATCTGCTCATGGTGTGAGAGTACACTCACTGTCAGACTGTCTATCTGCTCATGGTGTGAGAGTACACTCACTGTCAGACTGTTTATCTGCTCATGGTGTGAGAGTTCACTTACTGTCTATCTGCTCATGGTGTGAGAGTACACTTACTGTCAGACTGTCTATCTGCTCATGTTGTGAGAGTACACTCACTGTCAGACTGTCTATCTGCTCATGTTGTGAGAGTACACTTACTGTCAGACTGTCTATCTGCTCATGTTGTGAGAGTACACTCACTGTCAGATTGTCTATCTGCTCATGGTGTGAGAGTACACTCACTGTCGGATTGTCTATCTGCTCATGGTGTGAGAGTACACTCATTGTCAGACTGTCTATCTGCTCATGGTGTGAGAGTACACTCACTGTCAGACTGTCTATCTGCTCATGGTGTGAGAGTACACTCACTGTCAGACTGTTTATCTGCTCATGGTGTGAGAGTACACTTACTGTCTATCTGCTCATGGTGTGAGAGTACACTCACTGTCAGACTGTCTATCTGCTCATGTTGTGAGAGTACACTCACTGTCAGACCGTCTATCTGCTCATGGTGTGAGAGTACACTCACTGTCAGATTGTCTATCTGCTCATGGTGTGAGAATACACTCACTGTCGGATTGTCTATCTGCTCATGGTGTGAGAGTACACTTACTGTCTATCTGCTCATGGTGTGAGAGTACACTTACTGTCAGACTGTCTATCTGCTCATGGTGTGAGAGTACACTCACTGTCAGACTGTTTATCTGCTCATGGTGTGAGAGTACACTTACTGTCTATCTGCTCATGGTGTGAGAGTACACTTACTGTCACACTGTCTATCTGCTCATGGTGTGAGAGTACACTCACTGTCACACTGTCTATCTGCTCATGGTGTGAGAGTACACTTACTGTCACACTGTCTATCTGCTCATGGTGTGAGAGTACACTCACTGTCACACTGTCTATCTGCTCATGGTGTGAGAGTACACTTACTGTCAGACTGTCTATCTGCTCATGGTGTGAGAGTACACTTACTGTCACACTGTCTATCTGCTCATGGTGTGAGAGTACACTTACCGTCGGTGTCGTAGTCATGGAGGAACGTTTGGACGTCGTCCCTGTCGAATTTTCCGTTGTGGTTGTAGTCTAAGGTTTTCCACAAATTTTCTGTTTCCTGGTTCAGGTGGTGCACCCATTCTGACACGGGATCCGTGCCACTGGAAGGGGAGATAACCACGTTAGTAAGAGCGTGCCTGTTAATACTGACGGCGTTGGATGTTGCCCATAATATCACTCACAGGTTTGTCTTGGTCAGTCACGATTATTTACAGGATACCGTCGTATAGCTTCGATATTCCTGAGTGTGGAATCCAATAAACCTCTTAATCAAACTAATTAACAAACTTGGTGCATATGAAAACGTGTCACTGTTTAGCCTCCATAGGAGTGAGTGAATATTGTTTTACGCCGCTTTCAGCAATATTCCAGCAATATCACGGCGGGGGACACCAGAAATGGGCTTCACACATTGTACCCATGTCGGGAACCGAACCCGGGTCTTCTGCGTGACAAGCGAACGCTTTAACCAGTAGGCTACCCGACCGCCCCGCCTCCATAGGTCAGCCTGACGTTTGTAGCCACTCGCAGAAATTTCATTGCGCAAAGAAATCCAATTTTAGAGTATATCCGACTTCTGTATCCCGAAAACATGATTAGCTGCTAGTTATTCTTGCTTAATTGTCGGACCTCGTGAAAAACGCATGATCATTGAACAGCATTGTTCAAGCGTTGATGGATGTCAGGTAATTGGTCCGACTGTGTGAGCTTCTTTTGAATTGTAAGTGAGTGAGTTGGGTTTAACGCCGCTTTTAACAGTATTCCAGTTAGATCACGGCGTGTCAGCTTAATGTGGGAGGAAAGCCCGAAGTGATGTAGGTCTCAGACGTTTACCACTTCGGTGAAACCCACGAGCACGGGTATGGTGCTGACAAACCTAGAAACATAATCGGGGCGAACCGGGATTCGGGTTTCTGGCGTGCCCAAGGGACGCAACTCAGCGAATCGCGGCGCCTTAGACGACTGGGCCACCCGTGCCCCCGCTTCTTTTGAACATAATATTTATTGACTAGTGTTCTTACCCCAGCACACACGGCAGGAGGAGGAGCAGGGCGTACTGGAACATCACTGGAACACAGCGCACAAAGAAACACTTGTAGGTACAACCCAGTCTCATCCGGCAATTACCGTACATGCTGCAATTAAGGCTCAATATTCTATTTTTCTCAAACCTACTTTCACTTTGTGCTTGTTTCCTTGGAAAGATTTTATATGACAATGACGCTGAAACTTATTGAGGTACTTTTGCTATAGGTGCACCTGTGAAAAAAATAGTTATTATCTTCAAATATAAGAATATTAGGTTTGAACATGTATATTCGGAAACAGTTGTCCCTCTACCATAACTCTAATCCGTAGGTAACTTGTTTTTAGCACGCTCTACACACTTTTTCATTAACACCAAGCTAACCAGACGGGATAATGTTATTGTTAATGTATTTATTTGAAAATAACGTTTATCAAATCTGTATTGGATGAACATTTAAGCAACGCTTTTTAAAGGGCAAGTTAAGACAAAAGTATGATTATGAATTTGTTACGAATATCAGGTTACCTAGAGACATTTGGTCAATTCAGAAAAGTTCATAATATTCGTTGAAAGTATTTATCTGTCCAAGTGAAAACGCTGAAATTACACACAACGTACTCGGCGTCTAAAACAAACCTATTTGGGGGCGTGGCCTAAAGCTTTGTGTTTTTTATCGTCTGTTTTACGCAATTTCCGTTGTTTTCAAATGTAACTTTGGTCAAGCATTTGTGATGATGTATCCTCTTAAGTATTAAAATATACAAAGTGTCCATGTTGACTTTACATTAAAATTAGCTTTTAATGGTAAAACCATTAGATTCAATTCTAATGCTAATTAAGTATTTAATCGCCTCAGACATAATCTGCCAAAAAATATATTCATTGGGAGACATCAATAAACGGAAGACACTCTTACTATGAATTGCAGTGGACTGTTCTTCATGACGCAGTAAAAACCAAAACTATATATACTGAACAACAAATTTTCCTGTGACATTGAATAAGATTTAATGCAAATTTATGTTTTTACCAAATCTGAAACAATTTCGGTTTGCAACAGATAAAATACTCCTGTAAGTGTTCAAATGGTTTAATTTGCCATGCTGACTTCAGAAAATGCGTGATTTCATAAATGTCAATTTACAAATCAATAGCGTGTGTGTCCACCTCTGGTTGTGATGAAAGCAACACATCTTCGTCTCATGGAATGGACCAGGCGTCGCAAAAAGTCCTGTGGGATATTTGTCCATATCTGCTGGAGCATGTTCCTGGGGTGTCTTTGGAACACGTGGTTGACCTCGAAGGCGCCGATCCATCTCATCCCACATGTGCTCGATTGGTGAGAAACCAGGGGAGCGAGCCGGCCAGGGGATGACATTCACGTTGTTTTGTTGAAGAGAATCCTGAACAAGTCGAGCAATATGAGGCCGGGCGTTGTCATGTTGAAAGATAATGCCTGGGCCATGACGACGCAGAACAACAGGGCCGATGATCTCGTCGCGGTAGCGCTGTCCATTGAGATTTCCCTCTACCACTATCACACGGGTCCTCAGTCTTGCTGTAATCCCACCCCATACCATTACGCTGTCGCCCCCGAACCGATCTTCACCTCGACGTCGGTACACTCGAATCCGTCCATCGCTGTGGCTGAGGTGAAAACGAGACTCGTCAGTGAATAGAACTTGTCCCCAATGCATGGTCGTCCAGCGTAGACGCTGTCTGCACCACTGTAGACGTGCTTGGCGGTGGTTTCTTGTCAAAATCGGACGTCTGGCGGATCTTCTGGCGACAATCCCTGCACATCTGAGGCGGCGACGTACGGTTTGTAAAGATATTCTTCGAAGGCCAGGGATGCTTCTTTCAGTCACTATGCCGGCAGGAATCGATTTCGTAGGTGTGTTGTTCGAATTCAGTTGTCTTGTCGATTATTGGTTACGCGTGGCCTGCCACTCCGAGGATGGTCTCTGACTGCATTCGTCTGTTGCCAACGTTGCCATAAACACCAAATGGTGTTTCTGTTTCTGTTTCTGAATAATTGCGTAATTTTGTTGTTTTTCTGAGTGGTTGTTGTCAGCACGATGCTAAACAATGCATATGGAATCCCGTTAACGCGCATGTTTTTATACCCATTCTTTGGTAGTGAAATGCATGGAGCTTGCATAAAAGTCAACTTTTGCATGGAATGCATGCTTTTCTGTAGCAGTTGCGTTTTTGCGACTTGATTCCATACAGTTTTCCTCCATGGCCTAGGTGGTCGGATAGAAACATATGCCGTAATGGATGACGGGTCACAATGAGATTTTGCTTCCTGGGCCTCAATTTATGGTATCATCCCTCATTGGAGTTCTACTGCCTTTCCGGCAGCGACCTCTGGTGACATGAACCAGACAGTATCCCCCAGCATTTATGAATAGCATGTGTCATCATTCGGCACAGCCTGTAGTCCTTATTGCGCAATATATGCACTGCAGACAAATGCATATGATCACAAGGTGGAAAATGCTGATGTTTTCAGATCGGTCAGCACAGCCTTATATCTAGACAACTGCCGAGGCAGCGCCCCCACTGCAACAGAAGCCAAAGATCTAGTGCATGAAAGGAGTGCCTACTGGAAAAAAGGCGGCTTCCATCTCAGACAATGTATTAAATTAGTAACGTTCCCTCAGTCGTGGTTGATTTACCTACAGAAAACAAGGCAACCAATTGTGAGCGTTGGCTGTCTTGGCGAGACAGGAATTACCGAGGGAATCTTGGGACTCCAATGGCAGTGTAACAGTAATGTGCTTGGATATATGGTCAAAGAAATTAGTCATGGGTTCCTCACCATGACAGTCACGTATTTTAACTCCTTTCACAGCGAGAGCAAAGGCCATTGTCCAAGATCTCCGAAAGCTGAAGAGAGATCGGGATGCGGGTGTTCATGGGAAAATGAGCTACCAGATATTGAGAATGTGAATCTGTCCCAGGTGTTCCACCCCTCGCAATGTTGATGGGACAAGTTCATATATAAGGACAGCTGCATATCTTCTCTGATGCCCCGAACGTGTCTAATGGTGCAATTGCCTTCCTTGGACAGTGAATCAAGGAAGTGTCTGTTTCATTTTAGCACAAGCCAGATCCAGACTTGCTCCATACCTCGAGCTTTCAGCAGCGCTGATAGGAGCACAACTTGCAGATGATGTTGCTCAGAGAACTTACCTTACCAACTGAAATTGTGACACATCGTCAGTTCTCTATTGACTGAATTCTGATTCCTGCAGGTATAAAGTATTTGTTGGAACGAGGGTTGCTGAGATTCAAACTCTGATAATGTTGCGGACTGGCCCATCCTGCTGATGATCTAACTTGAGGCAATCCCTTGAAATAGCTTACAGATTCTTCTACTTGAATTGCCCACTTCACGTTTACGTCCGTTCAAACATTCCTTTTACTCCACAGGGTTGGACAGTTTGGGGCCAATGGTAATACTTTGGTGTTTTTTAGTTGTTTAACACCGCACTCAGCAATATTCCAGCTATATGACGGCGGTCTGTAAAATAATCGAGTCTGGGCGAGACAATCCACTGATTGACATCATGAGCATCGATCCACGCAATTGGGATCGATGACATGTATCAACCAAGTCAGTGAGCCTGACCACCCGATCCCGTTAGTCGCCTTTTACGAAAAGCATAGTCGCCTTTTACGGCAAGTATGGGTTGCTGAAGACCTATTATAACCCGGATCTTCACGGGTCGCCAAGGGTACTAAAGAAAGGATAGAGAAGATGGGGAGGAATCTTTAAATGTACGGACAACACGTGCACTACATCTTAAACAAGCAATATATCACTGAAACTTCAAACATACACTTCTCTTTAGATACTTGTATGTATGGCATGGCTTTGCAATAAATGTTGTAGTTAATAAACTTATACAACTTTGTAGGGTTACAATTGGTGTACGCGTACTTTCACGATTATTTGTTGTGGTGACAAACAGATGAGTCTGGTCAATTCGCTCCAATAGTTTCATTGTTTGCAAAGAGGCCCCTAGCAACGTGGCGCCACCTTTTCACATGAGCGCCTTGTCGCCAATTATTGAAGATGGCGTCATCAGGTTTATGACGTCACACACTTGAGGTCATCTTTCCGCGGCAAGGGAATTTACTGATTGTAAAAGTCCAGTTTCCACTCTTGACGAACTAGGCTGGAATTTCTGTGCTCGATCGCAGCGCCACCATTGGCGATTAAGAGTTATATCCTTTCTATGACCCACCTATTGACCAATCAGATTCCATCTCTCATATCACTTGCATTTGCATAAAACAAAATGGCGACGCTCAGTGAAGACTATCTGATCGATAATCAATATCTAGCTTGTACTAAAACGAGTCTTACTTCGCGAAGTGCATGAAATAACGTGGATACCTTGATTAAAAGCATGAAAAGATTTGGAAAATATCTGCTGATGCCGAGTTGGCGGAACACATGTTTTGCAAATGCTGAAATCCACCGAAATCTAGAAACTAGACTTTCATAGTCAGTTAACCCCCCTGCCCCGGGAAGATGGGAAAAACACGTTTCCACATTTTCTCAGGAAAAAGCCTTTGCATAATATAAGAATATCCTACTCGCAACTCAAAATATGGGTTATCTGTCCCTCGTGAATTAATTTTGACAATTTCTCGTGAATATATTTTGGTTGGTTGGTTGGTTGGTTGGTTGGTCGTTTAACGTCGCAATCAGCAATATTCCAGCTATATGACGGCGGTCTGTAAATAATCGAGTCTGGACCAGACAATCCAGTGATCAATATCATGAGCATCGATCCATGCAAACGGATCGATGACATGCATCAACCAAGTCAGCGAGCCTGACCACCCGATCCCAAAAATAAATTCACTCGGGTCAGATATTCCTTTACTCCTCGTAGCATGAAGAATATTCCGTAAACGTCCAATAGTATGTCACATAGAGCAGGATGTCAGTTGGGTTCCTTTTGGACTTTTGTGATGTAGGTGAGTGAGTTAATATTAAGCGTCACATCAGCAAAATTTCAGCCACGTGGTGACAGCGTGTGACGTAGGTGGTAGAGTATAGAATTACGTCGCCGTTAGCAATATGCTAGCAATATAGGGACATCAGAAAATAGGCTTCAAGTATTGTACCCGTTTCGGGGATCGAACCTGGGCATTCGGCGTGACAAGCGAACACTATAACCACAATGCTGCTCCGCCGACCCGGATGTATTTGAAACATATGTTGAAAATATGATTATTAGTAAACAGGAGTAAAAAGGATTCTCTTGAATTTTCTTCAAGAGAGCTTTTTGTTCAAGTTCTGTTTTGATTGAAGAAATTATACAATTAATTTAAAAAAATAAAAAAAATATTTAAGCCCCTATCATTCTTACCTGTCTTAATGGTGAGTGTTACGAAATGGACATATTGCGGGAGAAGCAATGCTGATATGCTGGGTCACGTGACATGGGATTGGGGAAATATTTTTAAAATCTGAGATATAACTATCAACTTAACCTGATTTGAAAACAACACGAGAAGGAGACAAAATATAACTTATTATAACACTTACCATTTCTGTGGTACCTCTTTGATACCGTTTTTTCGAAAGCCCTGCTATCCAGGCGGTTTCATGCCTCCATAGATGAAGTTTATGTCAGCAGCGGGTGTACGAGGTTTTCAGGACCTGAATGGGTTTCAGGTCGAAGGTCGGGGGTGTGCGTAAACGTTTTATCTCGTCAAGTCCCGTACGTCCCGCTACTGACACACAAAACACGTTTATTATTACAAGTACACAAGGTACAAAGGCGTGAGCTTATTTTCGATGAAATATGTGCGAGTTACAATTAGATCTTTCATTAGTGCGACTCGAACAGGGTCACTTTTGACGTGACAAGCAAGTGACGTCACCTCAAACATTAAGATCCGTTCTCCCGACGAGATCCGTGAAGATCCGGATTAGAATTGGTCTTGTCGTGGGAGGCGACTTATGGGATCGGGCAACGTCTGCCAGGAGAGCGGAAGGTCGGTGTCCCTATCCCTGGCCGCGTCATACCAAAACCCTGCCTGGTGCTCGAGTATAAAGCAAGAAGTGGTCGGCTCGGAGTCAGTATACTGTATATGAGTGGAGTATCTATGTTAAACTGAGACATGGTATTTATGCGGGCTAGCACTATAAAACCGGCATTAGTCCGGACTAGCACGCGCGCACGCACGCACGCACACCCACACACACGTCGCTATAACAGTGCAATAATCTAAAGCCCCATTTGACCTCACCCACCCACCCACCTTGAATCTAGGGGGCCAAGTATGTTCTTGTCAGTTGACATTTTAAACATGCATTTATTTATATTTCATAACTTGCGAAGACATGACTCCTCAAGGAATTGCACTGGCTTCAACATGTCCACATGAGTGTTTTTGAGATATGTGTTTGACCCAAATATTAGGGCGGGAAAATGCATGTCACGCATGTGACCTTGTTTCAAGAAAACAAGCCAACTGATATCAACCTGAACGGTGGTTTGGCGACTGTCAACATTTAAAACAAGAAATATATTGATATTTTTCAAATTTCAATTGATGAAGATGATTTGGAAATTCATAAATATACGAAACTGTATATGTATATGTGCCGTCAAATGAAGAGTGACTATGCAAATATAGACGGACCAAAGACGTATATATATAGGATGGGAAGCCTGCAGCGATTGACTTTGAAGATGTGCGCAGCGCAAAGCAGGCCAAGTCGACAGCACATGTGAACGACCCTGCCATGAGGAGAGAGTGGACTCCATTTTGACCATCTGGCGCTTGCGCAATGCCTTGTTTATCGACTTCATTAGTTACCCAAACTTCCGGATAATAGCATGTGCATGTGCATGTGCATGTGCATTTTACATGTACCACAGATGTATTGCCGATGTTATCATGTATGTAATAAAAACACGACCGTTATATATGTCTACTATGAGTTTGTCGGTCATTCTTATTTCAATTACGCTGCCAACACGATGTCAGATTATTTGAATTGGGACGATTCCGATGTTGATTTTTCAGAAATGTTGGCGGAGTATGAATTAGAATTCAGCTGTGGTCTTAGGATAAAAGTAACTCTACACCAAAGAGTCCACTATGCTTGAAACAGTATTTGTCCGTGCCAGGGTTCAGGGGTCTTCTCGTCAACAAACACAAACGATGCGATTTAAAAGGTGAGAGTACTAATGCATATTTTTAGTATATGTTTTCTGTTTTGCTGAACGTCCCCTGAACGTGGTGTGTGTGCGTGTACGTGTGTACTTGTGTGCGTGTACGTGTGTGCGTGCGTGTCTTCGTGTGTGTGTGTGCGCGTGTGTATGTGTGTGGGTTTTCTCGCAGTTTTATTATGCTCAATAATATTAGGCTACAATACATTTATTTACAGTTTATTATCTAAATATTTTCAAAAAAAGTATTTTTCTGAAATCCTTGTAAAAACGATAACAAGCCGTGAGGATCTATTTTGAGCTTTGTGCCAGCTAACGATCTGTGATTTTGAAGTTTCGACCGAAACAGAAATGCATATCCATTTCTTTATTCAGTGTCTCCTTGATGACCTCATCAGATGTGCCATTACCAACTTCACAACAAGTCAAGAGAAGGAAACAGAGAAATCCGCAGAATCATTTACAGACCAAGACAACTCGGTGCTATTCTACATATCCGGATAGTTGACATATGCCATGAAGAAAAATTCAATGAAGAAAGGAAGTACCGCTTCTCTCTAAATTCTTAAAACACCCTCTGATTCCTAGTTATCAACACATGGCTATACCGTTGATGACGAATAAAGTATTTTAATCTGGTAGTGTTAATTGTGACGTATGTTGAGTAGCCAAAAGCATTTATTATACATACTCGCTTCCTAGAACCTAAGATTGACTGAAAAACACTAAACTTGAAAGTTTAAGAAATACAACCTTGAACAAGTTGTTTTCTTCATTTATTTCGGATTTTCTATAATAACGCCTATTGTGTCCTGTTGTCACGATAACTCAGTTTATAGTTTTAGGTGTTTCTGTTTCAACAGTTAACACTGAAATATTTTGCTTATAATTTGTTTGATAGGCATTACTTAGAAGTTGACGGATGACCAAGTAGACAAAAATTTATGGATAACAACTTCTTTAATACTGTAAAGGCGACGTTTCGGTATAAGATCCTTATACCGTTGTCAAGCAAGACTGTTGGCCTGGTTGACCGTTTGTAGTCGAAACGTCGCCTTTACAATATTACAGAAGTTTTTATCCATAAATTGTGTCTACTTCGTCATCCGTCAACTTCTAAGTAATGCCTATCAAACAATTCATCCGTCGTCTACATGGAGACGTGGCAATCAACACCATCAACAGCCTCACCCGACTAGAGAAGAAGCACATTCAAACCAGTAACCACCTTACCTTCCTCATGAGATGCAGAGATCAACACATTATCCCCAAAGGCCTCAGGACCAGATCCCCCATCAACTCTCCTGCTGCCCGAGACATCCTTCACACCGCCTCATCACGGGGCGAATCTGCCGTCATCGCAAAATCAAGGCCATCTCCCTCAAAGACATCTCTGACCACATCAACCAGCTCAACACTAAGCTCCAACCCGACACCTTCTCCTCGCTGCGCACTGCCCAGACACAGGCCAACAACAAACTGCACACGAAGACCAAGGCCAACCTCATCAACAAGTTCCAACACCTCCTCATCGAGAAGCCCAAAAACCAGCAACACAAGCACCTACGCAGACTTATCAACCTCAGCAAAAAGGAGCTCACCACAGAACAGACTAACATCCTGTCCAAAGGCCTTAAGTACATCCCCACCTGAACACTACGGAACCATGATGACTTCATCCCCACAGCAACTCGCATCAGGGGGTAAAGTCGACTATCTGCGGCACAGATCTGTGACATTCTTGCAAAAACCATGGGGGCACGGGTGGTCCAGTCGTCTAAGGCGCCGCGATTCGCTGTGCAGAGTTGCGTCCCTTGGGGACCCCAGAAACCTATGATTGTGGGTTCGAATCCCGGTGCGCCCCGATTATGTTTCTAGGTTTGTCAGCACCATACCCGTGCTCGTGGGTTTCACCGAGACCTGCATCACTTCGGGCTTTCCTCCCACATTAAGCTGACACGCCGTGATATAACTGGAATACTGTTAAAAGCGGCGTTAAACCCAACTCACTCACTCACTCACTCACTCAAAATATGTTTACTTCTTCTTTAAATTAAGAAATGAATTGCGTGCGTTGGTATAGCTTTGCTATACATTATTTTCTTTTGGGCGTTATAAATCCATCCCATTTGTAACAATAACAATGCATAAACGTCATTATCTCTGTCTCTCAGAACCCGCGATCATAGATTTGTATAAAGAGACGTTGACCCCATCTAAGTTTGACAACATTTTGTTTCTCAATACCTGACCAGGTGATATTGAAAGACAACGCAGATCACTGGGGTATGACGTTTATTATTGTCTATTCCTGTTTATGCTTGTTATGTTGATGGAGCTGGTGTGGTGACCTGATTCTCAATGTGCTGAGTCTGCAGGATGAACAACACTGTGAGGAGCTGCAAAAAAGGAACGTGTGTCAGTGTCAGTGTCAGATGGAAGCGCTTATTCGTGACCGGTCGTGTCATTCCGGTGTTGTCGCTGATCACGGAAAGGGAACTGGAAGCCCACTAATTCAGGAAACAGTGCTTCAACATCGTCATGATGGTAAGTGCACAACGTTCCTCCATCTCCCGTGACAACATTCCGCCGAGTTGCGGTGTAACCAACGAACCAGCCGTCTTAGGCGCCGTGATTCGCTGTGCAGAGTTGCGTCCCTTGGGCACGCCAGAAACCTATGATTGTGGGTTCGCCCAAATTGTGTTTCTAGGTTCTGTAATTCCTCGAAAATAAGTACGTGCAAATTCATAGACGTGCGGTGAATTTAAGGTTTGCCGGAAAGTCGGTTCAGTGTGGTTCACATCTGTTGTGATTCAGAGAAGGTTAACTGTAAGAATGTTTGTATTACATTGTCTACTTTCATGACTTTCTGGGGGCACGGGTGGCCAAGTCGTCTAAGGTGCCGCGTTTCGCTGTGCAGAGTTGCGTCCCTTGGGCACGTCACAAACCTATGATTGTGGGTTCGAATCCCGGTTCGCCATGATTATGTTTCTAGGTTTGTCAGCACCATACTCGTGCTCGTGGGTTTCACCGAAGTGGTAAATGTCTGAGACCTGCATCACTTCGGGCTTTCCTCTCACATTAAGCAGACACGCCGCGATATAACTAGAATACTGGTAAAATCGGCGTTAAACCCAACTCACTCACTCACTCACTCACTCTTGACTTTCTTATTGACGATGTGCCTTCGGGTTTAAAGACACTAAAACAGGTTTCAGATCAGATTTACATCTCTTAGCTTTTTGTCACCAATTTGTCATTTTATTAAATAGTGGGAAAACACATTTATGACGTTAACGTTTGTGGAAATATGATGATACACCATGTGTGACGTCACAATGTGAAATAAAGAATTTTTATTTTTTTTCAAATATGTTTGCACCTTTACAGAAGTTTAATAAAAGCGACGGAGCCGTATCCATCTTAATAAGAAATCTCTGTGTCAGGAGTCGATTAAACGATTCCGACTGTATCATGATGCGGCGTAAAACAACAAACATGATGACGACGACTCAGTGTTCCTTACAACTACACTGCTATAACATGTTATTACATACTATAACGTACTATAACGTACGAGAAACCCAAATCTAGACGATATAACAAATAAGTATGGCGGCCTTGCCGCATGTGACCTACCTGTTTGTAGTAAGCCTTGAATTCATGCTTACTGACCTTTCCGTCATCTGTAAAATAAAAAATGGTTATACTATTTGGCGTAAATTAAATTCACATGAATTATTATGAAAAAAATTCCTCGTGCATACGACCGCCTCCGTGGTCTAGTGGTAGAGCGTCCGCCCGGTTCGGGGTGCGATTTCCGGCCGCGTCATACCAAAAGACGTTAAAGGATGGTACTTGTTGTTACCCTGTCTGGCGCTCGGCATTAAGGGGCTAAAACAAGGACTGGTCGGCTCGGAGTCAATATACTGTGGCGTATTCATGTTAAACTGCGGCATGGTATCTCAGTGGGCTAGCACTATAAATCGGCATTAGTCCGGACTAGTACAAGCAGCCACACACGTGCATGCACGTCGCTATATAAGTGCAATAATCTTGGACGCGACGTTAAACCCCATTTCACATTTGCTTACGGAAATTCATCAGGAGCGGTTGATGTTTATTCTAGACGGATATAAAAACTTTGTTTTTGAAACCATTTTGAGGGGCAGACATCTGCGACCAGCGCGAATGCAGAACACACAAAAGGATTAATACGGATGAGAGTGGGAAAGCGTGTCCTTCTGGATGAGGGACCCGTTCTATTTGCCGAAGCCCCTAGGTTTCAAGAAGATGGTATTATGAGCTACCGTCTTGGTCCATCCTGTCGTAGAGGGCGTCCAGGTCGGAAGACGTCACTACACCGCTTTGGTCGTCGTCGTACTCCAGGAAAAGGCCGTGTCCGACGATGTTGAGAGTAGGCTCCGTCACCCCCCAGTGGAAGTCGAACTCGTCCCGGGTAACTTCACCGTCTCCTAGGAACCAACACAGATGATGGACACACGTGAAAATACATGGAACTGCAGGTTAAACAGAAATCAGTGGTTGTTTCTTATAAACATAATCTGATCCTTTTGCAAACTTCCCGTTTGCTGTTTGCCTGTCTGTCTGTCTTCTCAGGAGACGAGAGTTCACTCACCGTTCGTGTCGTAGTCATGGATGAACTTTTGGACGTCGTCCCTGCCGAATTTGCCATCGTTGTTGTAGTCGAATTCCGTCCACAACTTTTCCGTTTCCTGGTGCACGTGGTGTTCCCAGGCGATCACTGGGTCCGTGGAAGGAGCGCTACCAGGGGAGATAACCACGTGTAAAGTGTTACATTTCTGGAGGCAGTTTAGTGTTATGGCAACTTGTCATTGTTTTTGTCATTATCCCGAGACCGCAATTGTGGTAGAGCGTCCGCCCGGAGCGCGGAATAGCGGGGTTTGATCCCCGGCCGCGTCATACCAAAAGAAGTGAAAAGATGGTACCTCTTGTTACCCTGCCTGGCACTCGGCATAAAGGGACTAAAACAAGGACTGGTCGGCTCGGAGTCAGTATACTGTGTCAGAGTCAGGACTAGTACAAGCGCGCGCAGACACACAAACACACACACACACGCACAAACGCACGCACGCACGCACGCACGCACACACACACACACACGTAGCCATAAAAGTTCAATCTTGAACGCGACGTTAAACCCAATTTCACCTCATCTCGCAAGAGGTGATTTTATAATGAATCGGGTTTGTCGGTTTAGTATAGTTTGTTGTTTAACGCCGCACTCAGCATCACTGGATTGTTTAGTCCAGACTCGATTATTTACAGACCGCCGTCATATAGCTGGAATATTGCTGAGTGCGGCGTTAAACAGCAAACGAACCAACTTACAGGCAGCCTTCATATAGTTGGGATATTGAGTGCGGCGTTAAGTATGAAATTGACACATGCATTGTGGCATGCATCGACCGTTTGATCAATTGTTACGCGCAGTGCTAATGACCTGCTGGTCCCACTAAACCAGTAGTTAGATAAGCATGTCTGTTAAAAACTACATCACAGGGAAATATCAGTGCGTGTAGTGACTTCAACGTTTGTTGTTTAACGCCTCACTCCGCAATATTCCAGCTATAAGACGGTGGACTGTAAATTATCAAGTCTGGACCAGACAATCCAGAGATTGATAGGAGCATCGATCCACGCAATTTGGACATGTGTCATAGCGACTGATTTACGGCAACCATTGTCTGAAGAACATTTGATTTAAAAGGCTAATTACCCTGTAGCCATGACATGTGCATGTCTCCATAACGTAATTGTCACTATGTATTAGGCGCTAATCCCCGTTGTTAATCCTCACCACCATTTCATTGTATATTGACTGTCAGCCAACCTTGGCTACTATATCACTTCCCGTTAATTACTGTTATTTATAGTATGACATTTATTGCCTTAATTGTTCATCCCCTGAGCAATGTCGGTTCATCACCCCCAGAAGTACCATGTCCAGAGCAACGTCATTGTCTGTCCATTGTTGTTCATTATATGTGTGTCACCATTACATGGTGTTAGTCAAGCTTGGTATTCCGAGTGCTGGTGTGGGGACGACCTCGAGCAGGATGTGCCGCTCGTAGGAAACGTCCTGAGGTGAGCTGGAGATCCGCTCACCTCATGTATGTCTGAGCTGGAAGATCAGAGCAGGTATTCTGCTCATTGTGTATTTGTTGTTTATTGTTTACATGTTGTGCATAAAATGTTCTGGGACAGTGATGTCGATTTTGTCCTTTATTCCCCCAAGAGCTATTTTCCCGTCAACATGCACGTTGACACATGCATCAACGAAGTTAGTGAGCCTGACATCCCCATCCTGTTGGTCGCCTCTTATGACAAGCATAATCGCTTTTACGACAAGCATGGCTTGCTAACCCGAATCTTCACAGTCCAATTTTTGTTTTTTGTTTGGTGAAAAATGATGTAAATGAGACTATGCTGCAGAGAAACCGGTGGAGAAACATACGTTTTAGACTCAATTATCTCTCTCAGTTGAGAACTGACAACCCAATCCTCGGAGGTCACGTCAGCTGAAATGTTTGAGCAGCCAATAGCAGTGTTGGTGCATTTTAATTCTCGGTACGAGCGAGTGCAGTCCATCAACCTGTGACTGTATCGGTGGAGTCGAGCAGACAGACCAAGTCGTGGAAGGTTGGTGGGTTGTTAGAATAGTTCATTTGGGGATAAAATGTTTGACAATTTGAATCAGTATTATGCATATGACAGTTAAGCATACACCAGAACCATTTCTGACAAATCTGACATTATAACATGAAGATATATACATTCAAAGGTTTACTTCAAGTGAAAAGTTCATAACTTTCGCTCTTCCAATGCTATTTCCGTACTTATTACTGCAGCTAGGGTTCAACTGTTATAAAAGAGTTTTATATAAAATTTCATAAACAGATCCTCGCATCAACGTCACTCAAGTTCAGTCTAAACTACGTTTGATCTACTTATGTGTAGGCACGGTTATTACATTTGCCTGAATCGGTAACACTGCTTAAGCTAACACTTGCAGGTTTCACAAAGACTAAATCTTAGTGCCAGTCGTAGTCTACGAGAAATCAATCACCACGTGTCTACTCGTGGGCAGGTATCCAGTCAACAGATGTTCTTACCCTAGCGACCCGTGAAGATCCGGGGTAGAATAGGTCTTCAGCAACCCATGCTTGCCGTAAAAGGCGACTATGCTTGTCGTAAGAGGCGACTTACGGGATCGGGTGGTCAGGCTCGCTGACTTGGTTGATGCTTGTCATCGTATCCCAATTGCGTGGGTCGATAATGTAGACCGCCGTCATATAGGAATATTGCTGAGTGCGGCGTTAAACAACAAACAGACAAAACCAGTCTTACCCAAGCACACACGGAAGCAGCAGGAGGAGGGCGTACTGGAACATCGCTGGAACACAGAACACATTGCAAACCTTGTATATCTCAACCCAATTGAACAATGTTGAACATCTATATCAACTACGCCAAGAACTGAAACACATTTCTAGCCTTCTCGTCCGGAAACTATTATTATTATTATGTTTATCATTAATTTATTTATGAAGGCTGTCTCAGTCACCCAGTGGGCGACGGCGCTGCAATTCGCTGTGCAGAGTTGCGTCCCTTGGACACACAAGACACAAAACCCATGCTTGCCCACTAAAGTGGTAAACACCCTGTAGCACTCATAATAATTTTGCCGTATTTGACTTCTAAATTACCTTTACACAATAACCCACAAAAAAACGCCCTCAATTTTTTGACAAACGAAACTTCAAGGGTCCGATAGCAAGTTTACACCTACAAATTTTAGTCCGTTTGAAAAATGTACTTTTTTATGTCGTTTAACCTACTTAAAAAGGTCATCTTTAATAACCGGCCATCCTTTTGATTTGCCACTGGAGCTTCTTACGCCGAACACAATAGGTATAAGAGAAATGGTTGTTAATGAGGTTTTTAGGACTTTAGTGCACCTTTGGATAGAGTTATGTGTTGAAAATACAGGGCACAGGTCAACACTAATAGCTATAAATATTTAGATTTCTTATACATGCGGTATTGCTTCAAAGCTATAAGACAATCTTGATTGAATAGATTATTAAATAATATTTATCTCCGGAGGACATGAAAAATAGTATCTACGTACTTTTCATCAACCTTACCTGTCTTAATGGTGAGAGTTAAGAAATGGACATATGGCGGGAGAAGGATTGCTGGTGTGTTGGGTCACATGACCTGGGATTGGCACTATCGACAGAATGTTTCCGATATCTTGGAGATAATAGTGAACATAGCCGGAATTCGACAAACAGTAGAAGTGGGCTTTGTGGATTGCTGCTTCTTCACGGTGTCAGATCCCAGACAGAATCAATAAACAGACCCGTGAAGATCCGGGGTAGACTCGCTGACTTGGTTGATGCATGTCATCGTATCCCAATAATATGGATCGATGCTCATGATGTCAATCACTGGATTGTCTGGTCCAGATTCGATTATTTACAGACCGCCGTCATGTAGCTGGAATATTTCTGAGTGCGGCGTTAAACAACAAACACATATAAAATCATGTTGTCCGACCCCTGACAGAATCTTTAATCAATAACATTATTCCCTCTTCATGTAGTCGTATCCCAGATAGAGGGATAATTAATCCTTTGCACATGTGTTGGTGACCCGTGAAGATCCGGGGTAGAATAGATCTTCAGCAACCCATGCTTGCCGTAAAAGGCGATTATGCCTGTCGTAAGTAGCGACTAACAGGATCGGGTTGTCAGGCTCGCTGACTTGGTTGATGCTTGTCATCGTATCCCAATTGAGTGGATCGATGCTCATGCTATTATTCACTGGATTGTCTGGTCCAGACTCGATTATTTACAGAGCGCCGTCATATAGCTGGAATATTGCTGAGTGCGGCGTAAAACAACGGAGAAAGAAAGAAAGAGAAAGTATAAAGATGTGCTCATAAAGATACCATGTCACAATGATCCAAACAGTTAAAGTGCGACATGGTTTGATTAGTTCACTTGGTTGTTATTTATTGAAATTTCTATAACCACACTATGTTTTGGTTGAAAACATGTTCGTCCTTTTAAGATTAATAGTATGTACATCAGTTTGCAATACTTGTCTTTCTGTGGAGCAAATATTATATTAAATTATATTAGCTCTATCGTGTTTATTTTAATCAAAATAAAAGGGTTTAAGCTAATGACAGCGATTAATAACCGTGTATTCTGTGCTTCTGATACATACTTCAACATTAGGGTGTGTGTTTAGCGTCCATAGGAGTTTTGCTGATTTTTTCTGTGCTGGCTGCCTGCGTTTACAAACGTGCGTTTCGTCGCGCTAAGGCAGAGCACTCGCCCCACACCCGGCGTACCGCTAAAAGTGAGTGAGTGAGTTATGTCCCCGCTATTAACAGTATTCCAGTTATATCGCGGCGTGTCAGCTTATCGTGGGAGGAAAGCCCGAAGTGATGCAGGTCTCAGACGTTCACCACTTTGGTTAAACCCACGGAGCACGGGTATACTAACAAACCTAGAAACATAATCGGGGCGAACCGGGATTCGAACCCACAATCTCAGGTTTCTGGCGTGCCCAAGGGACGCAACTCTGCACAGGGATTCGCGGCGCCTTAGACGACTGGGCCACCCGTGCCTCCAATATAGTATGTTATATGCATTATGACGTATCTTTATATTGCTGGGACTGCTACATGGTGCAAACAAATTTTCTTCGGTATAATAAAGTGTTGTCTTATCTCTGAGCTTAACATTGGTGAGGAAAGCCTGGCACATTAGTGAGGCTAGCTCAGCATCGAATTGTGTCAACCAACAAAGAGATCTACTGCATTGCTGTCAGCATGTTGATGGGTATCTTATATTGAACAATGGAGACTGTTTCCAGTGCGTTACTGGACAGAATATGACTCAAGTGTTGATGGCACCAAGAGATGGGCAACATTGCCGGTAACTGAACATCACATTGCTCACTATTTACAAGGACCCGTGACGATCCGGGGTATAAGAGGCGACTAACGAGATCGGTTGGTCAGGCTCGCTAACTTTGTTGATGCATGTCATCGATCCCCATTGCGTGGGTCGATGCTCATGATATCAATCACTGGATTGTCTGGTCCAGACTCGATTATTAACAGACCACCGTCATTTAGCTTGGCATATTGCTGATTGCGGGGTTAATAACAAACAAAACACTATTTACATTACTATATTCAAAAAATAAAACTGGTAGTGTGATCTCAAGCTCGACTAGAAAGTCACCTTTCTCATGGCACTGGATAACTATTTTATCTGCCTTTGTCCATCCTGCACACAATCCAGTTATGCAAGAAAATGGGAAAAGAAAAAATAAAGAAAACTAAACAAGGAAGAAAATAAATTGGTTGACAAATAGAGGATTCATCACTCGTGTTTTTTTAATATGGGAAATATCAACCGAGTCTTAGTTAATCGGTATTTGCCTCGCCAAAGGCTCGGCAAATACCGATTAACTAAGACTCGGTTGATATTTCCCATATTAAAAAACACGAGTGATGAATTCTATTTATCATTTTCACATTTTTGCTTCCCAATTAAGGAATAATTGCATTAAACATTAACACCAGCAACTTGTCGAAATCTTACGTATAGATCGTGCGTAGTGATACATGTTTTCCATAGCCGTGTAAACCAAAATAAACAACCTCTTAACTCCTTTATGACATATTCCTTCGCTGAGAAAAAAAATTCCTCGGATTATTTTAAACAAAATACTTGAACAAAAAGATCGTATCGCCAGCTCTCCGTTGGGCTTCGATGACAGCACGTGGAGCCGTACAACCAATGTAAACAAAGAATAACTACACAAAAACAAAAAGATTTTCACGTATTAGGATACTTTCTTAATGAAACGTAACCATTCTTTGACGTTTGTTTATGAAAATGTGTTGACTTGTCATACATGAAACGGATGAAAAGCATATGCAATATCTTGAAAGGACTGTGAAAGATGTGACGAATCGTCACATGGCGCTGGCCTGTGGCAGAGGTACTATGCTGGCTGGCTGCCGGCCGCATGGAACTCTTTGTAGGAGAGTGCATTGGGGTATGACATACATGTTTTTATGTCAAAGGCTTATGTCATGGATAAATGCTTTAGTTAAATGATAAATCTTTATTCGATATTATAGCTAAAATGGATAGAATTATCATTAAATCGCCCGCATGTTATCAGAAATGAGCGGGCCACTGGGGAAAATGTCCTAATTGCTTGCCGACGGGCCATTATCACGCCCGTTGTTAGGTGACGTTACAGGGATAGGAAAGGTTACGTCACGTTCAATATTGACGTCATCGGGTTTGTTCTTTGACGTTTCCATATTTGTAAAAGTGGGTCAGTGAAATTTGTGTTAATTGCACTAAATGTTTCAAAACTGATATTGTTTATTTTTATTTGATTACATATCCTATCCATTTTAGCTATAAAAACGGTAACGCTATTTTTCAGGGCATTATCATTTGCAGAAGCCGTCGGTCTTTTCAACTACCCTCCTTCGTCGGGCAGTTAATGGAAGACCTCGGGCTTCTGCAAATGATAATGCCCTGAAAAATAGCGTTACCCTTATACCAACAGTTAATTTACCCAGCGTTCCTGAATAGTTTGCCTCCGTTGCACTTTCAGGGGCGGTCGGGTAGCCTAGTGGTTAAAGCGTTCGCTAGCCACGCCGAAGACCCGGGTTCGATTCCCGACATGGGTACAATGTGTGAAGCCTATTTCTAGTGTCCCCCGCCGTGATATTGCTGGAATATTGCTAAAAGCGGCGTAAAACCATACTCACTAATTTTACACTTTCAACCTTTTAAACAAAGCCTAGGGGTCCTATGGTCATATTTTCGTCACTCCAAGATCCATAGTCACAGGAATGAACCTGTTGCTACGTGCGTTACAGAACGAACTACTTGTCTCCAAATATAAGTGCTAACGGACAGAGTGGGTTAACAAGGTTCTTCTCCATAAGGACACTTGGTATTATATGATTTTCAAGAAAAGCATCATAGGTAATAATGTGAGTTCGTGGCTTGTTTTCAAAGCCGCTCTACAGTATTACAGTTGTATCACGTGTCAGTTTAATGTGATGACTTTGGACAAACCGGGAGGGCGAGTGCATAAACACCAAGACTAATGCTGGTGCCCTTATATGTCTAGAAAACGCCCCCTGCAAACTGGAGACTGATGTATCTTTGGACAAACCGGAACGACTGGTATGGTTCTGTCAAACCAAGAACCATATTATATGGCGCCTTATCTGAGACAGTCCACTGACAACGGATCCAGATGCGCTTAAGGGACGCAACTCTGCATTGGGCTATCAGCGTTTGCGTGTCTACTGCTGCGAAACAGCATGGCAGTTCATTAATGGTTGGATTATGGTAATTGACAACACGAAAAAAGATTTATTGAATTTTTTTTTATTGTATAAGGAAAGATTGTTAGAACGCCGACGTTACCATCTGCATGGTTGGGTTGTAAGCCTGAAAGGAAATACGTCTTAGTTACTGGCTTTCTGGTTACTTCGTCATATGCTAAAAGAACTAACAAATATTACTCAAGTTCAAGATTAATTACTTCTTCTATTGAGTGGTTCAAAATAAATCCCAAGTTTTGTCAAAAGAAGTGATTATACAATACCCCAAAGGTATATAGTTAATGTCATTGCAACCTCTTGTATATATTCGACTGCTTGGACTTTATGGAGTCATTAATGGGAAATCAACATGATATCTTTTCAAGTTCGGGTTGGAATGATGGCCGTTCTGTATATGTATCAAGTACTGTACATGTTGGGGAACCCGTGAAGAAACGGATTAGAATTGGTCTTCAGCAACCAATGCTTATCGTAAGAGATGACTGACGGGATCGGGTTGTCAGGCTCGCTGACTTGGTTGATGCATGTCATCGTATCCCAATTGCGTTGATCGATGCTCATGATATTATTCACTGGATTGTCTGGATCACACACGATTATTTACAGACCGCCGTCATATAGCTTGGTATATTGCAGAGTGCGGCGTTAAACAACAAACAAACAAACAAACACCTTACCAGTTACTTGCCAACACCAGTCCCAGCAGCAGCAATGGCTTTCTCCACCTGGAACCAAATATTATTTGTGAAGCATGGTATGTAATGTTTGAAGTAAAAGATATCATTGTGTATTACATGACATTAATGTTATAGGAAGCCAAACTATTCTATTATTGGGCTGTCTGATAAACCTTTATGAATTTGTTCATTCTCTAGGCCTCAGATGTTTAATTATCATTATATTTTAGTCTTTAAAAAAGCATGGATGATGGTGGAAATAAGGATATTCGTAATAAACATGTTCTGTTAAGCCATCTCAAAAAGTATTGTTGGTCGAGTGACTTAATTCTTTTAAAATGTTATTTCGAAATACATGTCTGACATATGTGGTCGCCATACACCAACTAGATCGATGCTCATATCAATCACTGGATTGTCTGGTCCAAACTCGATTATGTATAGACCGCCGTCATATAGCTGGAATATTGCTGAGTGCGGCGCTAAACAACAAACCAAACCAAAATCAAAAGTTTTAAGAATGTACGTTAACTATATTTGCGCAATGTCAGCTTGCTGTAGGAGCGATGCAAGTTTTTGACGTTTATCAATTTGGTGAAACCCCTGATCTCAAGGTTCTGGCACACCTAAGGGGCGCAACTCTGAACAGCTAATTGCGGTGCCTTAGACGACCAATGTCTTCCGGTGATTACTTACCATTGCATAGTGATGCGTAAATTCCCCAAATGACACGTCGCCATCAGCTGTTAGAATAAGGAACCATCATGTAATCAGAAGATTTTATTGGACAACAAGTGGGGTACAGGCGTACACAAGCGTCCGACATTGTTGTAATATCAATAAAGGGGTAAGAGTCAATGAATAGGCATGCTATATTACCGGTACCCGATACATTTGTTTTTAATGGGTTTAACGCGGCTTTAAACAGTATTGCACTTATATCACGGCGTGTCAGCTTGATTTTGAGTAAAGACAAAAGTTATACAGTTCTTAGACGTTTGTCACGTTGGACAAAACCTAGGAACAATCTGGTCAAGCCGGGATTCGAACCTACGACCATAGATTTCTGGCGTGCCCAAGGGACGCTACTCTGCAAATCGAATTGCGGCGCCTTAGATTTGTAAAAAATCTGTGTTATTATTATTAGTGTTAAGAGTACTTGTTTAAGATTTTACTGTGAAAAAAGTCATTATGTGTAATATTGTTTACTGGGAGTCCTGAAAAGAATGAGTTGGACGTTTAAAAAATCGTTTGGCTCCCCTTTCAAAGATAGAAATGTGTAGGTTTCAAGCAAAATGCTCATGTTCACGTACCATTCCCATCGTAGTCTCCGAAAATTTTCTTCACGTCAGATTTCGTGATGTCGCCATCCTTGTTGGTGTCGTAGTAGTCAAAGTTGGCTTGAGCAGAGGCCTGGGGGACTTGTGATGCTGCAATGTACTCGGCCAGCTTCATGTGACCGTCACCTAGGGGAGATAAGTCTTGGGGTAATGATTGCAAAATACTTAACTTCAGAAACCTGCAAGCATCCGTATGCGAGATGTTCAGGAAAACTGATAATAAAACTTTTTATATTATATTTATATATTATATATTAATATACCGAAACCTTCGTTTTTTCTAACATCTTGGATTGAGTGATGATGCTCGGTGACTCTTGTGATTGCGTTTCATCGTACCCCGACGATGTGGAACGTTCTAGTCGACTATGCTTGTCGTTAGAGGCGACTAACGGGATCGGGTGGTCAGGCTCGCTGACTTGGTTGATGCATGTCATCGATCCCAATTGCGCTGATCGATGTTCATGATGTCAATCACTGGATTGTCTGGTCCAGACTCGATTATTTACAGACCGCCGTCATAGAGCTGGAATATTGCGGCGTGCGGCGTCAAACAGCAAACAAATTAACACAATTAAAATCACTGGTTTGTCTGGTCCTCACTCACACCAACCGCGAGATCTCTTGAGATCCCTCGAGAGGAGACAGCTAGCTCGCCAAGAAACGGGAAAGGAAAACAAGACTTACCATCCTTATCGAACATGTCATAAATAGATTCAAATTCTGCTTCTGAGAGTTGACCATCTTTGTTGGAGTCGACGGAGGTAAAAGCCGCTTTAAGAGCTGCTACAACTGGGGAGTCGGTGCTGAAATCGAAGAGAAAACATCATTTTCATGTACATTGGAACATCCAGTTTACATAGTTTGTCAATGTCAGCACAATTTAGAAACCTGTTATGACGTTGTCCCATTGTCCTACAAGCGGGTGAAATCTCATAATCGAAGATATAAAAATTACAAAAGTAGGGATACTTGGAAATAACTTTAAGTTACAATTTCCAAAATTGTAGAGATATTAGTTGCTAGTAATAGTTGATTGATAATAATAAACGAATTGGGAACACTCCAAAACCGGTTGTCAAGTATGACAGAAGATGTTATGACCGCCAGTGATCTTAAAGGACGAGACCAGTTACTTTTGTCAGTTAGTATATAACAATGACCTGGCACACCCTAGGGACCTAACTCTGCGAAATGCAGCGCCTTAAACGACCCGTGCCACTACAATTGAAACTCACGCTGAAAACGCCACGGCGACAAGACACGTGAAGATTACTAGGCTGTTCATTTCGATCTGGAAGAACAAATATAACATTTTAGTCAAATCCAATTCGAATGCCCGCATGGGTACAACACGTGATATATCCTGTGTCACTCTGTGATATTGCTGGAATAGTGCTAAAAGCGACGCCAGCCCTTATTCTCTCACACACTCATCAATATGCCAGCTTTATGACGGCTTGCCGCAAATCCCGGAGTCTGGACCAGACAATCCTGTGATTGATATCATCAGCATCGATCTACGCCATTGGGATACGATGACATGCTTCAACCAAGTCAGTGAGCATGGCCACCCGATCCCGTTAGTAGCCTTTTACGATGAGCATGGGTTGCTGAAGACCAATACTAACCCGGATCTTCACGGGTATATAATCAAATGTAAATATAAGCTTAGCTTCACTTTACCTAAAACAAATTAACAAAATGGAAAAGAAACATTTTTTATCACATGTCTAAATGTATTTTAAAATAGAGTATTTCATACTTTCGGAAAACACCATTTAAGAGGAAAATATATCTCGATTATTTAAATTGTTTTTGATACAGAGTCTGTTTTCAGTGTAGAGAAACATCTGCTAACAAGCAAAATATAAAAAGGTCGACAGAAATGAACATGAAATTGATCCAAAATTTGAAGTTCATTACCTGCATGTGTGAGGGAGGGGGGTGGGGGAGATTCTCAACGTACGATCCACGTCCTCGGGGTACGATAATACACAATCAACCAAGTCATTGAGCTTGACCACCTCTTCAAAATTGGAATCCCCACGGCAATGAAAAAGGTACAGTTTCACCAACTGAACACGAAACATATGCCCCGTGAGGATTCCGGTGGTCAGGCTCAGTGACTTGCTTGATTGCGTGTCATCGTACCCCGACGGCGTGGATTGTTGTTCATAATATCAGCCTCTGGTTTGTCATGTCCAGATTGGATTATTTGCAGGCCGTCATCCCATAGCTGGAATATTCCCGAGTGTGGCGTTATACAACGAACACCTTATCAGCGACTGAATTGGACGCACCTACCGGGAGATCCTGAGAGAGAAGACAGATACCTCGCCAGCACAGACTTAAATATTCTCCTGACACGTGTCATATTGGTACAAGAGAAAGCATTGGTGGTTTTAAAACGTTAAAAAAAATAACTGCGGATTTGACGTCATTCTTTTAACGGGTCTAATTCGTCACGTATATAAGTAAGATTGTGAAACTTGAGATTTCGTCCCTAAATCCCTAAACATTTCAGTAACTTCATGGTAAACCTATTTTGTTAACGGATTTCATGACAATTGTAACCCCTAGTTTCATAAACTTAGTGTAACATATATACGTTTGTTGTACTGACCGCTGGGGCTTGTAAGAGACTTACTACATGTACTTGAGTTTTAGACCGACAACAAGGTTTGTTGTACTGACCGCTGGGGCTTGTTAGAGACTGACTGCATGTACTTGACGTTTTAGACCGACAACAAGGTTTGTTGCACTGACCGCTGGGGCTTGTAAGAGACTGACTGCATGTACTTGACGTTTTAGACCGACAACAAGGTTTGTTAGACTGACCGCTGGGGATTTTTAGAGACTGACTACATGTACTTGGCGTTTTAGACCGACAACAAGGTTTGTTGGACTGACCGCTGGGGCTTGTTAGACACTGACTGCATGAACTTGACGTTTTAGACCGACAACAAGGTTTGTAGGACTGACCGCTGGGGCTTGTTAGCGACTGACTGCATGTACTTGACGTTTAAGACCGACAACAAGGTTTGTAGGACTGACCGCTGGGGCTTGTTAGCGACTGACTGCATGTACTTGACGTTTTAGACCGACAACAAGGTTTGTAGGACTGACCGCTGGGGCTTGTTAGCGACTGACTGCATGTACTTGACGTTTTAGACCGACAACAAGGTTTGTAGGACTGACCGCTGGGGCTTGTTAGCGACTGACTACATGTACTTGACGTTTTAGACCGACAACAAGGTTTGTAGGACTGACCGCTGGGGCTTGTTAGCGACTGACTGCATGTACTTGACGTTTTAGACCGACAACAAGGTTTGTAGGACTGACCGCTGGGGCTTGTTAGCGACTGACTACATGTACTTGACGTTTTAGACCGACAACAAGGTTTGTTGGACTGACCGCTGGGGCTTGTTAGCGACTGACTGCATGTACTTGACGTTTTAGACCGACAACAAGGTTTGTTGGACTGACCGCTGGGGCTTGTTAGCGACTGACTGCATGTACTTGACGTTTTAGACCGACAACAAGGTTTGTTGGACTGACCGATGGGGCTTGTTAGACACTGACTGCATGAACTTGACGTATTAGACCGACAACAAGGTTTGTTGGACTGACCGCTGGGGCTTGTTAGACACTGACTGCATGTACTTGACCTAATAGACCGACAACAAAGTTTGTTGGACTTGCCGCTGGGGTTAATCTTTTTCACATATTGTTTTATTATTAGGACGGGAGACAACCGAACTGTATTCATTGGTTCATGTTTATAACGGTTGTGTTGTAATTCATCGTGATAATATATTTAACATATTGTCGCACGGGGCTTATATTCCAGCTCGCATATGTTTTTTTAATTTGCAAGAGGGTAACATCAGCAATATTGCAGCCAAATCACGGCGGCCTGTAAGTTTACGAGTCTTGCCTAGACAAACCAGTGAGTGATAGCATGAACAAATAGAAAGTGTAAACTTGAAAATTGGATTTGACCAAAAAGCGTTAACTCAACGTTACTAGCCTGAAAACAGTCCCCGAAACACTGCAAACTTTAGGCCCGAAACACAAATATGATAACCGTATTAAATATATCACCTTCGGAAAATATTTTTGAATTGTTTCATTTTTAGACACCATCAAACATAAGTATATACTTTCTTTTGCGGGCAGTTTTTTTCAGTTAGTTGACATCGCATCAGTTAAGTATTGGTTGACACCTTCCTCGTGGGTTACTACACAAATGGTGAGTGAGTGAGTGAATGAGTGAGTGAGTGAGTGAGTGAGTTGTGTTTAACGCCGCTTTTAAAAGTAGTCCAGTTATATAACGGCGTGTCAGCTTAATGTGGTTGGAAAGCCCGAAGTCATGCAGGTCTCAGACGTTTACCACTTCGGTGAAACCAACGAGCATGGGTATGGTGCTGACAAACCTAGAAACATAATCGGGGCGAACCTGGATTCGAACCCACAATCATAGGTTTCTGGCGTGCCCAAGGGACGCAACTCTGCACAGCGAATCGCAGCGCCTTAGACGACAGGGCCACCCGAGGCCCCCTAAGTGGTTACTATCTGAGGTTTGCATCACTGAGGGCTTTTGTCCCACGGCAAGCTGAAACCGGGACCTTCTTTTCAGTGTGGCGTGAAAACAAACTTATCAGATTTGTATGAAAGCCTAAAGGGACAGGAGCGGCAGGGTAGCCTAGTGGTTAAAGCGTTCGCTCGTGCCGCCGATGACCCGGGTTCGTTTCCCCACCTGGGTATAAAGTGTGAAGCCCATTTCTGGCGCCCCCCGCCGTGATATTTCTGGAATATTGTTCAAAGCGACGTAAAACCATATTCACTCATTCACTCACTCAATAAAGGGACACATGTTGCCGACGTGTTCCTCATTGATGAAACCCATGAGCATGGGTAAAGTGGCATCAAACCGATGAGCACAATCCACAACCAGCGGATCCTGTCACGGCTAGGGGATGTAAGTCCGTACTGCGAATTGCGGTACGCTAAACCAGAGGGTTGCCGACTTACTGTGGGTGAAAGCTCAAAGTGACGACGGTTGAAGACGTTTACCACTTTTGTGAGGTGTTGATGGGACAAGGGTCAGCTGGGATTCGAACCAAGGATTATCGGACCCTTGCACAGCTAAGTAACGCAACTCTAGAAAATGACGATTTAGACCACTAGGCGTAGTTCACAGACCGGTGTTAGATAATGGCTTGCTTATTCAGCAAATCAGATGTAATCAGCTGTGAACAGCCAGTTGTAACATCACGTGATAGATAACTGTTCTTCAAAATCTAGCCTTCTAGAAGGTATGTGACCATATGCCTCTCCTTAAAAAATACCAATATTGTTAAAAATAACATCCTTCAAAAGGTATTCCCATCAAGTGAAAAGTAACTATTTTGCCTTTATCTTGATTATATATATTCCGTATTTGTGTCATAAATAGTTTAGGAATTACAAAAAACGCTGATGACACAACACAAAAACTACCTATATATATGTATCGACACACACGGGTCATTCTTTATTCTTTTCGATCTATCCCCAGTGAACGATGAAGTTTCTAGTCGTTTTGGCGTCGCTAGCGTCTTTGGCTTTAAGGTTGGTAGTACTTTCATATAAAGTTTCATCTTGACAATATTTTTCAACGACCAACAAACATATGCTTTGTTTTAACGTATTACAGCTAACTGTTAATTGCTATACCTATATTGACCTTGTGAACTTGGTGATACTCTATATGTGCGAGCAGGGGCTTTCAATTGACATTTCCGGGCATCGGATAACCATTAACACCTCGCATCGCAAAAGACATAATGTATATCTCCTTACTGAAATGCAAACATATATTCATTGCCGACAATTTAGCACAATGTGGCATTCGTGCATATGGTATGGGTATTCCTACAGTCTTGCTTGCCGACGATACTACACTTATTAGCGCATCACCGAGAGGCTTACAAACATCCCTTGATATTGGGCGAGATGGTGTAAATATTGAGTTTTTAAACTTTTTTTTTTCATTTTTTTTCCCTTAGTATGTTCCCATGAAAACAGCATGCTTATTTTTGTAAATACCTTTGACCGAGACTGGGAAAAGACCGTAGAGTTTCTGGACTTTTGGGCTTCCAGAATTAAAATGGGACGTGTTTTGTACATACATATGCCTTAAGGTGGCGCCTAACATATAATCCATCAAAAAGTGCAATAATTGTGTCCACCAAAGCAAAACGCAAGGGGTATAACTTTCATTGTAAACTTGGTGATACACACATTACTACAACTGACTCTACGGTGTATGGTGGAATACTTTTAACGTGTAACCTGTCTTGTAAAACAAAGCAAAACAAAATATTAACTCCCTAAGATCTTTAGGATAAGATAGTTATGATCTTCATCCAATTTCAAGCGTGAAAATATGGCTCAGAATGATACAGAAAACCAGCCTTTATGGATGCGAATTACTCTATGACATCAAGGGTCAACATGCCGTTCTGTTGGAAGGTACGCAAAGATATTTTGCACACATTGTACAGGGTCTTGATAAAAGATCTCCTTCAGAATCTACTATTTCGAACCTTGGACTTTGGACAATTACTGCATATATTGATAAATGCAAACTTTTATTTCTTGGTCGTTTATGCAATCTTAACTGTAATAACTTTGCAAAAGATATTTTTGCGCGTCCATTGCAAGCCCTGTCAATTCAAAGACAATCTGTGGAGAGCCTAACTTTGTGTGAAAGTCTCATCACGCAGTAAACTTTCGAAAGAGTGCATGCTCTGTATTAGGCATGCTTTCGACGATGACAGTCACATTATTTCACATTGTGAAGCGCTTATACCAGAAAGAAATGCGTTTTTCTCTTCTCTCATTGACTTACTCGACGTTCAAAAACATGTTGATTTTGAAATGCAAGACGACACAGATATGTTATCATTCTTATTTGGGGCTGAAACTACATTTACTCACAATCTGGATCAACACACCTGGGAAACTATTATACTACAATTCGCCTCGTATCTGTACAAACTAAGGCATCTTTTGAGGTTCCAACAAACTAAACTCCAGGTTTAAAAACTGGAGCCTTGTAAATATCGTTGATTGTCTTAAATGGGGCTGAAGTGAGGTGAGGTGAGGTGAGGTGGGTTGAGGTGAGGTGAGGTGAGGTGAGGTTTAACATCGCGTTCAAAATTATTGCATATATAGCGACATTCAAGCATTCATGTGTGGTTGTGTGTGTGTGTGTGTGTGTGTGTGTGTGTGTGTGTGTGTGTGTGTGTGCGTGCGTTCCCTGATGTAAGGGTCGATTGGACACAATGGATGCCGAGTATATTTAATTGTTGTGTTTTCAATATATTTTCGGCGGTCAGAAATGGTCCCTTTGATTGTCGATTGAAGTTAAGACCTTGCGAGTATGAATTCATTTTAAATGATGTGGATCTCATAGGGGGTGCCATTCTGCCTTGACCACGTTAAATTATCATAAAGCTGTAATATTAGTGATAAAGATGTGGCCGCTTATTCCAGCCAACACGATCACCACAAGAACACCCAGGCTGTGGCGGAGCATCTGTTCAAGCTTGTGGACACAGACAGGAGCGGTGATGTCTCTGGTTCAGAACTGCTCGGGGTCTTCCATCAATATGACACTAATGGTATTATTGTTGTTGTGTGTTTCTCTCTAGACCTTCCTCCCTGTAATCCATCACTATCTCAAAACTGTACATTACAGGTGATATGTCATTACAGCTGATATGTCGTTACAGGTGGTATGTCGTTATAGGTGATACATCATTACAGGTGGTATGTCGGTGTAGGTGATATGCCATAGCAGGTGATGCATCATTACAGCTAGTATGCCGTTACAGCTGATATGTCATTACAGGTAGTATGCCGTTACAGCTGATATGGCATTACAGGTGGTATGTCGTTATACAATGTAGGTGATACATCATTACAGGTAGTATGCCGTTACAGCTGATATGTCATTACAGGTGATACATCATTAAAGGTTATATACCATTATAAGTGGTATGTCGTTACAGGTGATATGTCGTTACAGTGGATATGTCGTTACAGGTGCTATGTCGTTACAGGTGCTATGTCGTTACAGGTGCTATGTCGTTATAGGTGATATGTCGTTACATGTGATATGTCGTTACAGCGGATATGACGTTACAGGTGATATGTCGTTACAGGTGCTATGTCGTTACAGGTGCTATGTCGTTACAGGTGCTATGTCGTTACGGGTGCTATGTCGTTACAGGTGATATGTCGTTACAGGTGATATGACGTTACAGGTGATATGACGTTACAGCGGATATGTCGTTACAGGTGATATGTCGTTACAGGTGATATGTCGTTACAGGTGATAACCGTCTGACCGAGAAGGAGTTCTACTTGGGTCTCTGTCTTCACACCCCCGAGATTTGTCCGGAGACGGTGGGTCTCTTCCAGGAACTGGACACCCTCAATGAAAATGTTCTGTGGCTCGAAAACATGCACAGTGTATACAGTCTCTTCGATACAAACGGTATGTTCCCCGCGTTACACAAACAGTATGTCCCATATTTGGATACAAGCGGTCAGTTTCGTCTCTTTGACCAAAAGGTAGGTGCTATAAATCAAGTTGATACATGGGACATATCTACTTAATCCCTAAGCATGTGTTTAGTGAGTGAGTATGGCTTTACGTCGCTTTTAGCAATATTCCAGCAATATCACGGCGAGGACACCAGAAATGGGCTTCCATGTCGGGAATCGAACCCGGGTCTTCGGCGTGACGAGCGAACGCTTTAACCACTAGGCTACCCGACCGCCCCTGCATGTGTTTAAAACAACGAAGGACAAGAAGGTTTACATGAACTTACTCCATTATATACGAGGTATAGCATACTCATGAAATAATTGTGACTTCTTCACCCACACTGTCCTTAATGAATCGTGGGATTCAGATGGGATCGTGGGATTCTCTAGTGTCTCGAATTGTATTACCACCAGGATGTTCCGAAGTCTGACCTGGTTAGATCGTTGCTCATGCTATCAACTCCTAGTCTGACGGCTTATTGAGTTGAGTAATAATATTCCCATGGTAATTAAATGCTTAATTTATTATTTCTTTGTAATACAACACACATTTACTATAATTATATTCGGTATGTTCTGCAGGAAACGGAGCGATTACCCGAAGCGAATTTGTCACCTGGATGACAAACGTGAGTAATGCTGACAAATGATTGAATGATGATTCATGTAGTCTCAGAACCAAGATTTTGTATCAAGATTAGATATTTTTGCAGCTACAGGTAAAAAACCCATTTTTTTTTAAGTTTAAAACTTTGAGCCTTAAATTTCTTTTAAAAAACATCACTTTGGGATCTATATTGTGGACTGGCGCGGATGAAACATCACAGTCTGGACTGAAGTAGATGAAACATCATAGTCTGGACTGGCGCAGATGAAACATCAGAGTCTGGACTGGCGCAGATGAAACATCATAGTCTGGACTGGCGCAGATGAAACATCATAGTCTGGACTGGCGCAGATGAAACATCATAGTCTGGACTGGCGCAGATGAAACATCACAGTCTGGACTGGCGCAGATGAAACATCATAGTCTGGACTGGCGCAGATGAAACATCACAGTCTGGACTGAAGTAGATGAAACATCACAGTCTGGACTGAAGTAGATGAAACATCATAGTCTAGACTGGCGCAGATGAAACATCATAGTCTGGACTGGCGCAGATGAAACATCATAGTCTGGACTGAAGTAGATGAAAGATCATAGCCTAGACTGGCGCAGATGAAACATCATAGTCTGGACTGAAGTAGATGAAACATCAAAGTCTGGACTGGCGCAGATGAAACATCATAGTCTAGACTGGCGCGGATGAAACATCACAGTCTGGACTGGCGCAGATGAAACATCATAGTCTGGACTGGCGCAGATGAAACATCACAGTCTGGACTGGCGCAGATGAAACATCATAGTCTGGACTGGCGCAGATGAAACATCATAGTCTGGACTGAAGTAGATGAAACATCATAGTCTGGACTGAAGTAGATGAAACATCATAGTCTAGACTGGCGCAGATGAAACATCATAGTCTGGACTGAAGTAGATGAAACATCATAGTCTGGACTGGCGCAGATGAAACATCATAGTCTAGACTGGCGCGGATGAAACATCACAGTCTGGACTGGCGCAGATGAAACATCATAGTCTGGACTGGCGCAGATGAAACATCACAGTCTGGACTGGCGCAGATGAAACATCATAGTCTGGACTGGCGCAGATGAAACATCATAGTCTGGACTGAAGTAGATGAAACATCATAGTCTGGACTGAAGTAGATGAAACATCATAGTCTGGACTGAAGTAGATGAAACATCATAGTCTAGACTGGCGCAGATGAAACATCATAGTCTGGACTGGCGCAGATGAAACATCATAGTCTGGACTGGCGCAGATGAAACATCACAGTCTGGACTGGCGCAGATGAAACATCATAGTCTGGACTGAAGTAGATGAAACATCATAGTCTAGACTGGCGCGGAAGAAACATCACAGTCTGGACTGGCGCAGATGAAACATCATAGTCTGGACTGGCGCAGATGAAACATCATAGTCTAGACTGGCGCAGATGAGACATCACAGTCTGGACTGGCGCAGATGAAACATCATAGTCTGGACTGGCGCAGATGAAACATCATAGTCTGGACTGGCGCAGATGAAACATCACAGTCTGGACTGGCTCAGATGAAACATACCAGTCTGGACTGGCGCAGTTAAACCATCAAAGTCTCGAATGGGGAATATGAAACGTTATAGTGTCGATTGGCGTAGACAAAACATCATAGTTTGGACTGACAAAAATGAAACATCATAGTCTAGACTGGCGCAGATGAGACATCACAGTCTGGACTGGCGCAGATGAAACATCATAGTTTGGACTGGCGCAGATGAAGCATCACAGTCTGGACTGGCGCAGATGAAACATACCAGTCTGGACTGGCTCAGATGAAACATCACAGTCTAGACTGGCTCAGATGAAACATCACAGTCTAGACTGGCGCAGATGAAACATCACAGTCTGGACTGGCGCAGATGAAACATCACAGTCTGGATTGGCTCAGATGAAACATCACAGTCTGGACTGGCTGAGATGAAACATCACAGTCTGGACTGGCTCAGATGAAACATCAAAGTCTGGACTGGCGCAGATGAAACATCACAGTCTGGACTGGCGCAGATGAAACATACCAGTCTGGACTGGCTCAGATGAAACATCACAGTCTGGACTGGCGCAGATGAAACATCAAAGTCTGGACTGGCGCAGATGAAACATCACAGTCTGGACTGGCGCAGATGAAACATCATAGTCTAGACTGGCGCAGATGCGACATCACAGTCTGGACTGGCGCAGATGAAACATCATAGTCTGGACTGGCGCAGATGAAACATCATAGTCTGGACTGGCGCAGATGAAACATCACAGTCTGGACTGGCTCAGATGAAACATACCAGTCTGGACTGGCGCAGTTAAACCATCAAAGTCTCGACTGGGGAAGATGAAACGTTATAGTGTCGATTGGCGTAGACAAAACATCATAGTTTGGACTGACAAAAATGAAACATCATAGTCTAGACTGGCGCAGATGAGACATCACAGTCTGGACTGGCTCAGATGAAACATCATAGTTTGGACTGGCGCAGATGAAGCATCACAGTCTGGACTGGCGCAGATGAAACATACCAGTCTTGACTGGCTCAGATGAAACATCACAGTCTAGACTGGCTCAGATGAAACATCACAGTCTAGACTGGCGCAGATGAAACATCACAGTCTGGACTGGCGCAGATGAAACATCACAGTCTGGACTGGCTCAGATGAAACATACCAGTCTGGACTGGCGCAGATGAAACATCATAGTCTGGACTGGCGCAGATGAAACATCATAGTCTGGACTGGCGCAGATGAAACATCACAGTCTGGACTGGCGCAGATGAAACAACGCAGTCTGGACTGGCGCAGATGAAACATCAAAGTCTGGACTGGCGCAGATGAAACATCACAGTCTGGACTGGCTCAGATGAAACATCACAGTCTTGACTGGCGCAGATGAAACATCAAAGTCTGGACTGGCGCAGATGAAACATCATAGTCTGGACTGGCGCAGATGAAACATCACAGTCTGGACTGGCTCAGATGAAACATCACAGTCTGGACTGGCGCAGATGAAACATCAAAGTCTGGACTGGCGCAGATGAAACATCATAGTCTGGACTGGCGCAGATGAAACATCATAGTCTGGACTGGCGCAGATGAAACATCACAGTCTGGACTGGCGCAGATGAAACAACGCAGTCTGGACTGGCGCAGATGAAACATCAAAGTCTGGACTGGCGCAGATGAAACATCATAGTCTGGACTGGCGCAGATGAAACATCACAGTCTGGACTGGCTCAGATGAAACAACGCAGTCTGGACTGGCGCAGATGAAACATCAAAGTCTGGACTGGCGCAGATGAAACATCACAGTCTGGACTGGCTCAGATGAAACATCACAGTTTGGACTGGCGCAGATGAAACATACCAGTCTTGACTGGCGCAGATGAAACATCATAGTCTGGACTGGCGCAGATGAAACATCACAGTCTGGACTGGCGCAGATGAAACAACGCAGTCTGGACTGGCGCAGATGAAACATCAAAGTCTGGACTGGCGCAGATGAAACATCACAGTCTGGACTGGCTCAGATGAAACATCACAGTCTGGACTGGCGCAGATGAAACATCAAAGTCTGGACTGGCGCAGATGAAACATCATAGTCTGGACTGGCGCAGATGAAACATCACAGTCTGGACTGGCGCAGATGAAACATCAAAGTCTGGACTGGCGCAGATGAAACATCATAGTCTGGACTGGCGCAGATGAAACATCATAGTCTGGACTGGCGCAGATGAAACATCACAGTCTGGACTGGCGCAGATGAAACAACGCAGTCTGGACTGGCGCAGATGAAACATCATAGTCTGGACTGGCGCAGATGAAACATCACAGTCTGGACTGGCTCATATGAAACATACCAGTCTGGACTGGCGCAGATGAAACATCACAGTCTGGACTGGCGCAGATGAAACATCAAAGTCTAGACTGGCGCAGATGAAACATCATAGTCTGGACTGGCGCAGATGAAACATCATAGTCTGGACTGGCGCAGATGAAACATCAAAGTCTGGACTGGCGCAGATGAAACAACGCAGTCTGGACTGGCGCAGATGAAACATCATAGTCTCGACTGGGGAAGATGAAACGTTATAGTGTCGATTGGCGTAGACAAAACATCATAGTTTGGACTGACAAAAATGAAACATCATAGTCTGGACTGGCGAAGATAAAACATATTCTCTGCTGACCATTTTATGGGGGATGTGTCATGTACACATTTAAAGCAGATTAAAAAACAGAACAAAACAATTTCGTCTGCCGTAGATGAAACGGTAAACTTTCGACCTTCTCAGATGAAACGGCATAATTCCGACTGACGTAGATACAATAGCAACTATACATAGCCTGGACTAATACCGGTTCTATAGTGCTAGTCTTGTGAGATACATTGCAGCAGTTTAACATGGATACCAGACTCAGACACGTTATACTGACTCCGAGACGACCAGACTTTAATGCCAAGCCAGGTTGGGTAACCACAAATACCGCTTTTAACATATTTTGGTTTGACGCGGCCGGGGACCGAAAGACCAACCTTCCGCTCCCGGACAGACATTCTAGATACATTTAACGCAGATGGAACAACATAGATCAAACTTACCACTGGAGTAAATGGAACAAAAATGTTTCGACATACGTAGATGAAACATCCTACAGTTTCGACAAATGCAGATGAAACAGTACAGATGGACTACCGCCGTTTGTGTCAGTGGGCACACTCCACTGTATTGTTATATTGGGTAGGCTGATTCCATAGACACACTTATCTACTCAGCATTAAGAAAGTTCAACGAAGTGAAAAAGACACATTCTTCTATTTACCTTCACTACGTTTATGTGTAATATTGTAAATTTTGTGTTTCAGAAGCTGGACGCGATTAAACAAACTCTACCAAAACACTAGGGTAAGGGACATAGCATGGGGGGGGGGGGGGGGGGGGGGGGGGGGGGGGGATGTGTGTGTGTGTGTGTGTGTGTGTGTGTGTGTGTGTGTGTGTGTGTGGGATGGAGGGTCAGAGACGGGGCGGAGTGGTTGGTGTAGGCCAGCCTTGATATATCCGATTAGGCCGTACTTGATAATTTGTATCTTGTTGAGATCTGTGTCTTAACTAACGTTCGCCCGAGCCAACCGTCAAGTCGTCCACTCATCTTACTGTCCACCCATCACCCCATCCATCCGACGACAATCCATCCGTCCATCAATCAAACTGTCCCTTAACCCATCCGGCCACTCATTCACATGTCCACCTATCCATCCATTCCGTTATTCTTCTCATCAGCCCGTCCACTCGTCTACCCGGCCACCCATAAACGCGTCCAAATTATTAACAATTTCAAATTCTGGGACTTTCTAATTGACGTATTCAAATTTAATTCAATCGTGCTATATGATTGTCCTTCACACTTCCAAATTTTTATTTTATTTTGCAGGTGACGCTGAACCTCGTGTGAATTGGGATGAATAAAATATCAGTAACTTATATAGCTGTGTGTGTTTTTAATCGAGCACCGGGTTCGAATCCCGGTTCGCAATGTATTATATTATAGATTTGTCAGGACCATACCCGTGTTTTGGGGATTCATCAAAGAGGTAAACATCTAACAGCTGTATCACTTCGGGCTTTTCTACCACATTATGCTGACACGACGAAAGAGAACTGAAATACTGTTCAGGGAGGCGTCAAACCAACCTCACTAACACACCCATACACCCACCCACCGCCGTAATGTAACTGGAAAGTAGCTGAGTGCGGCGTTAAAAAACAATCAAACCATGGCGACACGCAATACAGCCAGGCCGCACAGAGATATCGCATGTTCCTCAAATAACTCGCTTGGTGACACGCATTGATAACAGGACATCACTCGATTCGCAACAAGTTACATATTCTCCGACAACTTATAATTATGACACACACTTGCGGCCTGGATGGCCTTGTGGTGATAAGAACTGTATTACTAGTTACAGATCCCGTAGGCCGTGACTATGGCCTTTACTAGTCATTTTAAATTTAAAAGTTAAATTGTTCAATTTGCAATGTTTTGCTATGTTCATGCCATGCGGGGAGACACATCGATTAAATAGCACCTCTTTACTCAGTCGTGATCACTCGTGTCATTAGGGACAAGCCGAATGTCCTCTTGCAAGATACGTAAAGCGACGAGTGTTGATGAATGCTTTTTTAATGCTCCAAAATCTCCAGAGAATGGTAGACAGTCACGGGGTAATTCAAAACTATATACAGTATGAGTTGTAGCAGGATCCCTCGTGGTACATGGGGTTTTATGCGTCCCTGGGGCCTGGTGTATAATACCACGCGGGACGCATAAAACCCCATGTACCCCGAGTGATCCTGATACAACGAATATATCTTACCGATATGTTTTAATGTGACATTGTAAAAGAATTAACACAATTTCAAAATTGATAGAAAACAGCTGTTCGATTAACCTGAGGTTAACTTGTACCATGAACGTGACTTCAATTGACTAAAAAAAAGCGTGCGGATTTTTGCTTTGAAGCGTTGATAGGGGATTTATTCTGTCTCTCAGAAATCCACGTGCAGCCTGTATTGCTCGCGACGGGGTATAAGAGATATATTCCTCCGCTGAGAAATGTATTCCTCACCGAGGCGGGTTACACAGTATTTTATCAAGATCACGTGGACCAATCAGATCTCATCATTCTGACATGGAGGTATGATAAAGTATTTTATCAAGATCACGTGGGCCAATCAGATCTCCTCATTCTGACATGGAGGTATGATAAAGTATTTTATCAAGATCACATGGGCCAATCAGATCTCATCATTCTGACATGGAGGTATAATAAAGTATTGTATCAAGATCACGTGGGCCAATCAGATCTCATAATTCTGACATGGAGGTATGATAAAGTATTTTATCAAGATCACGTGGACCAATCAGATCTCATCATTCTGACATGGCGTTATGATAACGGCCTTAATGGTCTTCATGCGCTATGCACGGATCATGGAGTAACGGGAATATCAACAAGAACAGTTAGACTTGTTTTTTATCGCCCTACTTAACAGTATTATTGCTCGGCGGGTCGTAAATAATGATCACACCACGTAGTACAGTTTTTAACATTCTATACCATACTTTCTCATCATTACAATCATAGCATAACAGACATACAAGCTTACATTATAAATACTATTTTCTTGCTTATTTGACATTAATATTGACTTCCGGGCAAAATGAAGTATACACCCATGTTAATTTGATGGTGGCTAGATATGAAACAAACAAGAAATGTTTTTTCGATGCTGATGTATTTGATACGGGTATCATAGTTGTGTTTTAAGTTCCAAGTGTTTCGACGAATGTTTTCAGCTAACTGTAGTAACGTGTCGATAACGTTTGTAATATTTTGATCAAATCCAATTTTCAAGTGTGTTAATGTGTGCTTTCTTTTGCTCGTCAGTTATTAGAAATTTAAAAAAGATTCAGATACAAAGTGGAAGGCATATTCAACAGTTTAAACCAATATATAAATTCAAAAGATATATGCATTATTAAAGTAAAATGGTGATAGTGTGAATTTATACTTGTAGTCCACACAACGTAACTATACTAGTATATCTTGTGGTATATTCCTTAGAAACACACGGTCAGCCATAATATACTTGCTGACCTGGGTCATGAGAGATGACAGCTTGTCCTTTCCTAGATTGGTTCACCTGATCTTGGTCACATGTCAAGTGCTTGTTAAGGATAGGCATTTTTGTTTTCTTTTCTTTTACCAGCTCTTTTGCACCTTAATCAGGTAAGTCAAAGTGTGGCGTTTCTGGGGGATGGTCAGTTACTCGAACATATCTAAACATACTCATTTGATCTTTATGCTTTGTTCCATGATGAAAAGAAATAACACATGTTTCTTAATTTCTAACAATAAGCATCAATCTGGATTATTACGTCGTCGATTAGCTGAACAAACACAATCATGGCAACAGGGGTAAACTCCACGGTTCATTCGCAGGACGACGACCCCCTGCGTCGTATGAAAACAAACTAGCAAAAAGTGAGGTCGTCGTCCTGCGAATATTTCAATCCGCCAATCTAGTTAAACAATGGGTATCGAGTGTTATTTTAACAACTCGAGCAAGTACAAAAGTGGAATTGGATTTGAAACGGTAGCCACCAGTACAAAGGTATCAACTGCCGCTTGTAGTTGGAAGAAACGGGCACTGTAACTGCGCGTTTGCCATATCGAGAATGATGACAGACTTACTTACTTATATTGGAGATTTTACGTGCGCTTTCCGACTGCAGCGTATTTCGCACACGGGCCCGGCCAAGCCATTTAATGTGTTTCCAAAAAAGGGGAAAAGGTTGTTTGGCAATCCAGTAGGGGTGTTTTAGTGGTTGCTTATATCGAATTTTGGAAATTTTGAGATTTGGGAAAAATGCCAAGAGGGTTTGGGGGGCGAACTAAGGGACCTGAGTATGGAAGTTTGTTAGTTTGATTATTTGGTTTGGTTTTGGTAGTTTATTGGGGTTTTAAATGCGATTTATTAGTTTTGATTAAGTATACACCTAAGGCTTTGAATTTTTCTATTTTATTTTGTGGGTTTAGGATTGCTTCTAGAGTAAGAGCCTGTGTGTTTGGAGATCGGATCTGAGGATCCGTCTGTATAAATGTGACACCAATTTGGCCAATTTTCATGTATGTATGCTAGTGTGGTGGTTTTTGCTATGTTTGGGTCGGTTTGTTTATTTATTGTGCTAGCTAGTGTTGTGTCTATTTTGGGTGTTTTAAGTTTTGGGGTGAAGATATTTGATTTTTTACAGTTTTGTTTAAGATTGTTTATTTGGTGTTCATTTAAGTAATGGTTATTCTTTGGGATATTGGAGTAAGTAGAGGGTGTTTTCGAGCTAGGGCTTGGTTTTTGGGGCTGATATTTTTGTTTATTAGGTTTTGAATTAGGGGGTTGGATTGAGACGCGGCCCAGAAATTTAGAGTTAATTGTTCCCTACGTAGACTTAGTGGCATTTCTCCTGTTAAGGCCTGGAGTGAAGTGTAGGAGGTGCCATGTTGAGTGCGTGTTATTAGTTTTAGAGCCTGATATTGAATTGAGTCTAGTTTTTTGCTTAGGGCTTGGTTTAGGGTGTCGTATATGGCACATCCGTAGTCTATTTTAGATCTAATTAGTGATATATAGAGTGAGATGAGGGTGTCTTTGGAGGCCCCCCAGTTTGAGCCAGTAAGGCACCTTAGCGTATTTAGATCTTTGCTACATTTAGTTATTAGATTATTTATGTGAGCGTCCCAGGAGAGATGTTCATCGAAAATTAGTCCTAAGAATTTGGTTTGTTTTAGGAATTGGATTGGTTTGTTGTTTAGCTGGAGTTTTGGGGAGGCGTTTATTTTAGGGGATAGGCCCTCGAATAGATCATTTATCATTATATTGAAGAGTGTGGGGCTGAGGATACTGCCCTGGGGAGTGCCATTTTCTAGGGGACATTGGTCCGATAGCGTTTGGTCTATACCCACGGTTATTTTACGATTGTTTAGGAAGTCCTGGATGTAGTTTATTATTTGTCCTTTGAGTCCTATGTTTTGTAGTTTTTGTATTAGCCCGTCGTGCCATACCATGTCGAAAGCTTTGGAGAAGTCTAAGAAGATGCCTGTAGTATATTGTTTGCTGAGTTGTCCTGTTTTAATGTCCTGCTCTAAACGGGCGAGGTTATCTAAGGTTGAGCGGCCAGGAGTGAAACCACTTTGATCTGGGTTTATGATGTTATTTTGAGTAAGGTAATGTTGTAGTCTGTTTTTAGCCATAGATTCCATTACTTTACATAAGTTTGAAGTTAAGGAAATTGGTCTATAGGAGTTAGCCTGATTAGCTGGTTTATTAGGTTTAGGGATTGGTATGACTAAGGCCTGTTTCCAGGGAGTAGGTACTCGTCCGTTTTGATAGATGAGATTGTATAGTTTAAGTAGTGCCTGGAGTAGTTTAGGGTGTTTTTTTTTAATTATTTGGTAGGAAGTTAGGTCCAATCCTGGGTCTGTGCCCTTTTTCCTGTTTTGGATGACGTAGAGTAGCTCCTCCATTGTGTAAGGGTGGTTTATTTCTAGGTTGTCATTATTTGGTTCTTTGGTGTATTTGTTTTCTGTTTTAAGTTTATCTTGAAATTTTTGGCTAAAGTTGTTGCTGCTTACGGCCGAAAAGTGGTTGGCGAGGTTATTTGCCTTTTCAGCGATGACAGACTACCATGGTTTCGGAGATTTATAACAGAGTAACTGTTGAGTCAATCAGTTGAGTAAATGGTACTCACTAGATTATCAAAATCAGAGTTCACCAATTCAGTCAACACATTTCAGTTTTTGACACTAACCAAGGAGTTAATCCCCTCCTAAAACAACACCACACATCAAAGGCGTACCGGCGGGTCGTTGTCCTGCGAATGGAAAAATTCGAGGGGTCGTCGTCCTGCGAATACCCCAACCCACATGCTTCGTGATCACATAAAATAAATACAATTACAATCCTTCTGTTATATGTAACTTGATTTTTTTTAATCATATATAGATAAATAGTTTTGGTTAAAACTAATCAACTAGTTGTCGAGTTTGTAATGAATATATATTGAAATTTTAGATTTACCATCGTGCTGTTATCGCGATAATAAGAAATACAATTTTTAAGTCAGTTACAATCGTGATATCGGAGATGTTAACATAACAATATTCTGACTCATAAAAAATCATTCTATTTTAAACATTCAGTGTTTTTGTATCTGTATGAGGGGACACGGGTGGCCCAGTCGTATAAGGCGCAGCAATTCGCTGTGCAAAGTTGCGTCCCTTGGGCACGCCAGAAACCTATGATTGTGGGTTCGAATCCCGGTTCGCCCCGATTATGTTTCTAGGTTTGTCAGCATCATACCCGTGCTCGTGGGTTTCACCAAAGTGGTAAACGTCTGAGACCTGCATCACTTCGGCTCTTCCTCCCACATTAAGCTGACACGCCGTGATACATCTGGAATACTGTTAAAATCGGCATTAAACCCAACTCACTCACTCACTCACTATTTGTATGTTGTAAGACCAGTCCATACAGGAATAAAGAGAACAGGCAGGGATTAGCTGCTCACTGGATTATTTGTTGTTTGAGTCTGTAGTGGTTTTGGACTGTAGTTATTCTGGCAGGATACCCTTGCGTACGGCTGCCCTTGGCCTTGGTATTGTCCACCATTCCACCCGTAGAGCTACCCCAAGCTGGGCCACATTGACAGGTGCTGGGGCTATGGCGTACACTCTCCGCCTAAGAACATCCCACAGATGCTCTGTTGGGGACAGGTCAGAGGACTTAGGGGACCAGTCGAATGTCCGTATGTCTCGTCTGAGATAATCGGTGACGACCTGAGCACGATATGGTCTGGTATTGTCACCTTGCTGTTAAAATGACTGCCCACAATTCTAGCGAACGGTTGGTTGGTTTGTTGTTTAACGCCGCACTCAGCAATATTCCAGCTATATGACGGCGGTCTGGAAATAATCGAGTCTGGACCAGACAATCCAGTGATTAATATCATGAGCATCGATCAACGCAATTGGGATCGATGACATGCATCAACCAAGTCAGCGAGCCTGACCACCCGATCCCGTTAGTCGCCTTTTACGACAAGCATAGTCACCTTTTACGGCAAGCATGGGTTGCTGAAGACCTATTCTACCCCGGAATCTTCACGGGTCTTTAGCGAACGGAACGACAGGACGCAACATTTCGTCAACGTATCGCTTGCCAATCAAAAGTCCATTCACAATAACCAAGTCAGCACCGCCTCGCACTCTGACAGTCCCGCCCCGAAACTGATCATGGTCAAGAACTGTTGCCCTGGCCTAGCACTCACCGCTACGTCGCCAACAACGTTTTCTGTCATCTGCGAATCGGATGCAAAACGCACAGCTCTTCCTGGTGTTGCCAAGCCCACCCCAATCTTGCCGCTCACAGTAAGCTGTTAGGGTTACACCTGTCACAGGAGGCTTTGCTTTTCAGCACATTCGTCACCACTCGCCCCTATTCGTAACCTGCAAGAAGACTCGTCCCCCTATCAATGAATGGGGGGCACGGGTGGCCCAGTCGTCTAAGGCGCCGCGATTCGCTGTGCAGAGTTGCGTCCCTTGGGCACGCCAGAAACCTATGATTGTGGGTTCGAATCCCGGTTCGCCCCGATTATGTTTCTAGGTTTGTCAGCACCATACCCGTGCTCGTGGGTTTCACCGAAGTGGTAAACGTCTGAGACCTGCATCACTTCGGGCTTTCCTCCCACATTAAGCTGACACGCCGTGATATAACTGGAATACTGTTAAAAGCGGCGTTAAACCCAACTCACTCACTCACTCACTATCAATGAATGTCATGTACGAAAATACGACAAACCAATCAGGATGCGCGTATGATTTCAAGTTCTTCGTCAAAGAATCCCTCAGAAATAATTTTTGATTTTACATATGTCTTGCATCTAAAAATATACCCAAGACACAGTTTAATGTGTTCAATCATACTGTATAATTCCACATGTCTCGATGTGCTTTAAATTGCGTCTGAAATATATATAATATATGGGGAAATATATGTGAACCACAAGAAACTAGTTGACAATTGTTTTAGGTATGCCCGTTTGTGCTAGGACGGATCCCGGTCGCAAAAATGGCCATGTGAGGGGCACGAGTCGCTATTCGGCTTGTCCCGGAATAACACGAGTTGGTCAAGAACGGCGGGCTGCATAGTGCCCCCTCTCTATATATACACATAAATTCATTTAGTGATCGGCTGGTTCTTCCGGCTTTTTAAAAGCATCTTCGGGCCATATAAATGTAAATCCTGGATTCTCTCTCATTACATGGACTCAAGAAGTTTAGGAAGGGCCGGAAGTACTAGCCGAGCAGTAAATGAATCTGCAAAATTTTGCGAAGACTTCTCTTCATTTTTCTTATATACTGTACATACCCTAGAGAGTTGATTCACAATAATGGTAAACTTTATTTTGAATGAAATTATCGGTTTGCTTTTATTTCGCATCCTTGTTTTCCAGGATGATCTGCTTCCTTGTGCTGGCTCTTGCTTGCGGTGCCCTAAGTGCCCCGACGTAAGTTCCAATTACGTAAGAAAATAATTAGAATTAGAAAAACAAATTTAAATTAAATTGAATTAATTTATGACGTTTCGAGGATTTAATTTATTGACTCGAAATTTTCGTTGAGAAAAATCGCCCGTGTTTGCCTTCTCCAAAATTGGTTTATCTATCATAAAACACGTGGATACATTTTTAATACACTAATATTTCGAAACAAAGTATTGGTTTCCCAAGCGTGTAGAGCATGCACTATTTCTAATTTCTAAAAGGAAGATCTACAAATGCAAAATTGTATGTATGTGTCGATATCTGTTACTGTTGTTTAATGCAGGTGTTGATATTCAAGTATTGTTGTTTACTTTAAGCAGGTAGGTGTGGATTCTGTTGTTTACTGCAGCGGTCGGGTAGCCTAGTGGTTAAAACGTTTGCTCGTCACACCGAAGACCCGGGTCGACATGGGTACATTTGTGAAGCCCATTTCTGGTGTCCTACGCCGTGAAATTGTTGGAATATTGCTAAAAGCGGCGTAAAACCATACTCAGTCACTTACTGCAACAGGCAGGTGTCGATATCTGCTACTGTTGTTTACTGCAATAGGTATGTGTCAACATCTGCTTCTGTTGTTTACTGCAGCATGTAGATGTCGATATCTGCTTCTGTTGTTTACAGCAGCAGGTAGGTGTCGATATCTGCTTCTGTTGTTTACTGAAGCAGGTAGGCGTCTATATCTGCTTCTGTTGTTTACTGCAGTAGGTAGGTGTCGATATCTGCTTCTGTTGTTTACTGCAGTAGGTAGGTGTCGATATCTGCTTCTGTTGTTTACTGCAGCAGGTAGGTGTCGATATCTGCTTCTGTTGTTTACTGAAGCAGGTAGGCGTCGATATCTGCTTCTGTTGTTTACTGAAGCAGGTAGGTGTCGATATCTGCTTCTGTTGTTTACTGCAGTAGGTAAGTGTCGATATCTGCTTCTGTTGTTTACTGCAGCATGTAGATGTCGATTTCTGCTTCTGTTGTTTACTGCAGCATGTAGGCGTCGATTTCTGCTTCTGTTGTTTACTGCAGTAGGTAAGTGTCGATATCTGCTTCTGTTGTTTACTGTAGCATGTATGTGTCGATATCTGCTACTGTTGTTTACTGCAGTAGGTAGGTGTCGATATCTGCTTCTGTTGTTTACTGCAGCATGTAGGTGTCGATATCTGCTTCTGTTGTTTACTGCAGTAGGTAAGTGTCGATATCTGCTTCTGTTGTTTACCGCAGCATGTGAGTGTCGATATCTGCTTCTGTTGTTTACTGCAGTAGGTAGGTGTCGATATCTGCTACTGTTGTTTACTGCAGCAGGTATGTGTCAATATCTGCTTCTGTTGTTTACTGAAGCAGGTAGGCGTCGATATCTGCTTCTGTTGTTTACTGCAGCAGATAGGTGTCGATATCTGCTTCTGTTGTTTACTGCAGCAGATAGGTGTCGATATCTGCTTCTGTTGTTTACTGCAGCAGATAGGTGTCGATATCTGCTGCTGTTGTTTACTGCAGTAGGTAGGTGTCGATATCTGCTACTGTTGTTTACTGCAGTAGGTAGGTGTCGATATCTGCTACTGTTGTTTACTGCAGCAGATAGATGTCGATATCTGCTTCTGTTGTTTACTGCAGCAGGTAAGTGTCGATATCTGCTTCTGTTGTTTACTGCAGTAGGTAAATGTCGATATCTGCTTCTGTTGTTTACTGCAGTAGGTAAGTGTCGATATCTGCTTCTGTTGTTTACTGCAGCAGGTAAGTGTCGATATCTGCTTCTGTTGTTTACTGCAGCAGGTAAGTGTCGATATCTGCTTCTGTTGTTTACTGCAGCAGGTAAGTGTCGATATCTGCTTCTGTTGTTTACTGCAGCACAAAAGTGTCTTTATTCTAATATTGTTGTTTTACTGTTTCTTTTCCCTTTAGAACTGCACCGGACTTTACGGCGCTTCTCTCACAGGCATTCAACAGAATCGATGCTGATGGGAGCGGCTCTGTTGATGTGTCAGAATTCCTCAAGGTCTTTGACCTGTATGATCTCAACCGTAGGTTTCGTTTAGACACATATTGCCACTGTAGGCGACCCAAGACGCCCCGTGGTTTAAGACGTCGCAATTCATTGTATAGAGTCAGTTAGCCGTGCAAGGATCCGTTGATCGCGAGTTCGAATCCAAGATTCCTGATGATGATATTTGGTTTCGGCACTACTATTCGTGCTGGTGGGTTTCACCAAAGTGGTTAACGTCTACAACCTGCGCATGCGTACCTCAGGGTTTCTTCCCAAATTCGCCCTTGACAAGCATTATAACTTGTTCCCTAATGATATTTACGGTATGAAACATACGAGGTATTACAATTTTTTTTATATCATATAATATCACTCTTGCAATCGATGCTTAAGATCTAGTCTGCTTCGGAAACCTATTCTGTCCCTTAATCGTCAGTGTATGTGTTGACCCAGACTGACATCGTCGGGAGGGTGTGGTATGGAGTGAGACAGTGACGGTACTTCCACAGATGCACTGTGCACATATACGGCGACAAGCTTTGGTTAGCGGGGACCTTATCTGTCCTGGAAACGAAGAGTATTCTTTAGAGTATGTGTTGATTAAGACTGACATCGTCGGGAGGGTGTGGTGTCGGGAGAGACAGTGACGGTACTTCCACAGGTCCACTGTGCACATATACGGCGACAAGCTTTGGGTAGCGGGGACCTTGTCTGTCCTGGAAACGAAGAGTATTCTTCAGAGTCGGGAGGGTGTGGTGTCGAGAGAGACAGTGTACTACCACGCTTCGCTGTGTACATACAGTATCTTGTTCTAAATGCATCTCGAATCGCATCGACAGGGCATACACCGATGGGACAGGACACAGTGAAACCCCGTTTACCCGGTCGGTGCCGCTGCCTGTGAAATCAGATTAATAACACATATCTGGTTTAACGAATCGTGAAATTATTTAAATGTCCCCTGATGTATTCCCAACAGCAATCGTTCGGAGGACGGGTACTGCCGATTAACATTGGCCAGATAAACAGGGTTTCACTGTACACGGGTGTGAACCCACCTTCCTGACCAATTGTTGCTCGTACGTCAGTATTCCTTGTTTACTAGGGAAATATAAAAGCATGCGTTCGTTACTCAATATAGTTACTTCTAACTGGACGGGGGGGCACAGGTGTCCCAGTCGTCGAAGGCGCAGCGATTTGCTGCGCAGAGTTGCGTCCCTTGGGCATGCCAGAAACCTATGATTGTGGGCCCGAATCCCGGTTCGCCCCGATTATGTTTCTAGGTTTGTCAGCACCATACCCGTGCTCGTGGGTTTCACCGAAATGGTAAACGTCTGAGACCTGCATCACTTCGGGCTTTCATCCAACATTAAGCTGACACGCCGTGATATAACTGGAATACTGTTAAAATCGGCGTTAAACCCAACTCACTCTAACTGGACGATTTTGATAAGAAACTAAATTGCATACACGTGGTGTAACTTTTGATAATTAATATTTTTCACTGAATAATCAAAATGTTTTCAATTTAAGATGATGGCAAAATGACAATTGAAGAGTATATGACTAGTACTCACGTGCCGAAAACCTTTGCTCAGGCGGTCTACAATTCCATAGACTCCGATCACGACAATGCCATCAAGAGAAGTGACATAAACAGCGTCTTCGCGACCTACGACACCAGCGGTAATAAACCTTGACTTGCGATGAACACCTGCTCACAGTGATTGTACCTTTAACTGAAACACAGTGATTATACTTATCGCTGCAGTAAAACCAATTTTACTGAAACTCAGCCGGACGCTTTTGTGAGTTTTAGCACTGGCGGATCCAGAGGTAAAGGGAGTGGGTTGTGTTGTGTGCAGGGGTGCGCAACCCCCTATTTGACATGTGACCTGCACCTAGGGGTGGGGTGGTGTTGTGTGCAGGGGTGCGCAACCCCCTATTTGACATGTGACCTGCACCTAGGGGTGGGGTGGTGTTGTGTGGGAAGGGCGCGCAACCCCCTATTTGACATGTGACCTGCACCTAGGGGAGGGGCGGTGTTGTGTGCAGGGGTGCGCAACCCCCTATTTTACATGTGACCTGCACCTAGGGGTGGGGTGGTGTTGTGTGCAGGGGTGCGCAACCCCCTATTTTACATGTGACCTGCACCTAGGGGTGGGGTGGTGTTGTGTGCAGGGTTGCGCAACCCCCTATTTTACATGTTACCTGCACCTAGGGGTGGGGTGGTGTTGTGTGCAGGGGTGCGCAACCCCCTATTTTACATGTGACCTGCACCTAGGGGTGGGGTGGTGTTGTGTGCAGGGGTGCGCAACCCCCTATTTTACATGTGACCTGCACCTAGGGGTGGGGTGGTGTTGTGTGCAGGGGTGCGCAACCCCCTATTTTGCATGTTACCTGTACCTAGGGGTGGGGTGGTGTTGTGTGCAGGGGTGCGCAACCCCCTATTTTGCATGTTACCTGCACCTAGGGGTGGGGCGGTGTTGTGTGCAGGGGTGCGCAACCCCCTATTTTACATGTTACCTGCTCCCTCGGTCACGTCACTTTTGGATATGGGTAATATGTGCACCCCTTGTTTCAAAATCATGGATCTGCCTCTGTTCACTGTGTACGTAAATGATGTTAAAATGATAAAACATTTATTTACATATGTAGATTGTTAGTTTAACAGAAGACTGCCTCCGTGGTTTAGTGGTAGAGCATCTGTCCGAAGAAGGTTGGGGTTCCATTCCCGGCCGCGTTATACCAAAAGACTTTAAAAGATGGTACTTAATGTTACCCTGTCTGGTGCTCGGCATTAATAGGCTAAAAAAGGACTGGTCGGCTCGGACTGTGTCTGAGTGGGGTATTCGTGTTAAGGGGCGGTCGGGTAGCCTAGTGGTTAGAGCGTTCGATCGTCACGCCGAAGACCCGGTTTCGATTCCCGACATGGGTACAATGTGTGAAGCCCATTTCTGGTGTCCCCCGCCGTGATATTGCTGAAATATTGCTAAAAGCGGCGCAAAACCATATTCACTCTCTCACTCACTATTCATGTTAAACTGGGTCATGGTATCTCAGTGGGCTAACACTATAAAATTGGCATTAGTCCGGACTAGCACAAGCAGCCTCACATACATGCATGCACGTCTCTATATAAGTGCACTTATCTCGATCGCGACGTTAAACCCCATTTCACCTAACCTAATTCAATAGTATTCTTATCCTAAAAACAACCCAAAGCTAATCCACGTCATGATCTTTTCAGGTAATGGCCTCATCAGTCTCGCCGAATTCGTTACTAAGTATAAGGAGGTAAGGCACCCTCCCCCTTACAAGGAGACATTTTGACCCATTACTTTTGACAAATTTGCACATCAATCTCAAAGTACACAGTTTGAGCTAGAGTGAGTGAGTGAGTTTGGTTTAACGCCGCTTTTAACAGTATTCCAGTTATATCACGGCGTGTCAGCTTTATGTGGGAGGAAAGCCCGAAGTGATGCAGGTCTCAGACGGTTACCACTTCGGTGAAACCCACGAGCACGGGTATGGTGCTGACAAACCTAGAAACATAATCGGGGCGAACCGGGATTCGAACCCACAATCATAGGTTTCTGGCGTGCCCAAGGGACGTAACTCTGCACAGCGAATCGCGGCACCTTAGACGACTGGGCCACCCGTGCCCCCAGTTTGAGCTAGAAGAAGAACACGGTTATTTTAATACTTTTGAAGTGTGGCGGTACGTGGTACTGTGTACAGTGCACAGGTCACTGACCTGTTTAAAAGTTTCAAATCAAACTATATTTGGAGAAATAATAACATGATACGTGTTTGATAAACTTAAGTATGGCCCGGCCGAGATAGTACGTCTTTTTTACCCACTACATATTATTTTTTCAGATTTTTCAGCATGTCAAGTGGAATATTTAATATTATTTGTGCGTACAATTTGAGGACAAATGATTCATTTTAATTATTTTTTATTTTTTATTCCAGATTTTCGCGCAGGTCCAAAAGAACTTGTCTGGTCAATAAATGTTACTGGCAAACATAAACGTGTTTAACCTCCATTTCTAAACTTGTGGGCAAAACACGTCCAAAGGCCGAATTCTTCGAAGAATGCAGAGTATATGTAGTTACACGTGACCACGTGACAGATTCGAGCTGCTTCGGCGCATGCGTATGTGATGGTGAGTCACTCATACGCGCGATTCGCTACACAATATCCTATTTCAACTGAACATAGGACCGTATAAAATGCCCTGTTTGTCAGCTGCTGTCACACTTTGACATTAGGCAATAATGTACCCAATGTTATAATATATGCACATCACCCCTGGACCGTAATGGACTAGGCCATTCATGCATATTCATCGGGATCAAAAGTCAAGTTTTTCTTTTCTGTTTGATTGTTTGTTTGTTGTTTACCGTTGCACTCAGCAATATTCCAGCTACATGACAGCGGTCTGTAAATTATCGAGCCTTAACAAGACAATCCAGTGACTGACATCATCAGCATCGATTTACGCAAATACGATACGATGACATTCTACAATCAGGCCAGAGAGCTTGAGCACCGATCCCGCCCACGAGTACCCCTTGGGGCTGAGAAACTTAGCAGAAACGTCTAGATCTTCTAATGGCGGCTTAACACGGGTAACTTAAGTTTGCAAAAGCAGTTTGGCAAACGCTAAAATGTTTTCACACGACAAATATGTATTGTTTGTACTTAGTTCTTCTTTACTTCTCTCTCTAATGACGTCACATAAATAAGCAGACATTAGTAAACATCACGTGGTATGGACGCAGTATCTGATGGGTTGTAAGCTCTTATAGCTAAAATGGATAGAATTATCATTAAACCGCCCGCACGTTATCAGAAACGAGCGGGCCACTGTAACTTGATAATGCCCTCATAATGCTTGACGACGGGCCATTATCAAGCCCGTTGTGAGGTGACGTCATAAGGTAGAGAAAGTGACGTCACGTATTATAGTGACGTCATCTGGTTTGTTCTATGACGTTTCCATGTTTGTAAAATGGGGTCAGTGACATTCGTGTTGATTGCAAAAATTTTAAAAACCGATGTTGTTGTTTCTTTTTATTTGATAACAAATTCCATCCATTTTAGCTATAATAACGATAACGCTATTTTTCAGGGCATTATCATATGCAGAAGCCCTCGGTCTTTTCAACTGCCCTCCTTCGTCGGGCGGTTAATGGAAAACCTCGGGCTTCTGCAAATGATAATGCCCTGAAAAATAGCGTTATCCTTATATCAACATATGCTTGAGAACCATTTACAGTCAAAATCGAGTTTGACATCACTAAAATGGCGGCCAAAGTATTAATGAAAATAGAGTCCGATTCCATTTCTAGCCAACAGTTTGTGAAACTTCATAATGGTCGCACACAAGGTTTCTCGTGTGAAGCCATCTCATGGCGCCCCAATGTGTTGTGAAGAGTTGCGTCCCTTAGGCGTGCTTGAAACTTGGTTCGAAAAGTCCAAGTTTATATTTCTTGAATTTTCAGCATCGATTTCGGCTTCGAACTGTGCAGTATCGCATTCCACTGCCCGGTTCAGGCCAGTTGGTGATTGACAGCGGGTGATTAACTTTTCTCAGATGGCTCTAGTTGGACCAGCAGACGACACACTATTCTAAGATGCATTGAAAAACAATTGAAATCTTAGTAATACTTATAAGCACAGGGACTGTAACAATTTCAAAATAATACAAATGTTATAATACAAACTAAATTTAAATTTGTGCATGTTGTAATATCCTATAAAAAATAAGAACTGTGCCCATGTTAGAAATAATATCCATAAACCCCACACCTCTCTCTATGTTCAATATGAAATAATTATCAAACTTTACGATCTGAATTTATGAAAATGACAGTAATATCATAATTAAAATTATATTACTAATCCTTTAACGGAAGTACATGTAGTCCTCTACACTATACATTCAATGAAGAAGTTACTGATCCTAAACTGACAATGTAGACGCCTATGAACATATTAACTTCTTAACAAGCAAACATATCATTATCAAACAATTCATGAAACAGTGAAGGCTACCCATTCTCAACATGCAAGGCACAATACAACTGGACAGAGGACCTCCCCCTGGCTCTCCAGTTAACAGTAACCATACGGCTTATTGTCGGACAGTCTTGGCACGGGATGTTTGGAGAACTGTGGACTGCTGAGAGCAGTAAGGTGATGTACAGACATATAAGAGAGATCATTTTACAACTGCAAACGCTTATGCAACAAAGTGGATATGGAATTGGATGTTTAATACTGGTAGATGTAGTCTCTCTTGTAAGTATATGAAAGTCAAATGGTGAAGAGACTTTTGACTTCAAGTGGTATGTGGCAAACTCAAACAGCGATTTTGTTTTCGTTAAGAGCATGGCTTAAACTGCACATTCCTATTGTACTTCATATACAATACATTATACCTGGCATTTGGACATCGATACTCCAATGACACAAGTATGTGAAAATTTAAAGAGAAAAACAACAAACTTCCTGATGCAAGCTATTTTGTAAACAAATTAGGACAAGTCTTAATTGTTTATGCCTTAAGTGGGAGATAAGTTAGGCACCCCTATATCAAATGAGTCTTGTCGAAATGCTTTGAAATAAATTATAGATCATTATCGATACTTAAACTTGTAATTTTCAATGTAGAGTGATTCACAGAGTATCACTACTAATTCCTTCTTTGAGAAATGTATGAGGACTGGTAACTATAGTAACCAGAGTTGTCGTGAGCAACACATTCAGTCGTCTTTCAGCTCAAGAAAACATATCAATCAGATATATCAAGTACTATCAAAAGATGAATGGATACCTGTCAAAGTTTAGATGTACACTCTCTCAAAAAAGAAACGCAACCCCTATATTTTCAAGATGTTTATCTCAATATTCAAGTTATTATAACACATTTATTATTGAAGACAACAATATGAAATTTGGCATGGTGGCAGTACAGTTATGCAAGTTTAAGTCCAGACTTCGACAGTTCTCTTACTAAGATTGACTTGACGCAAGGGGGCGTCTTTCTCAGTACCTCGTATGTGCGCCACGAGCTGCGATCACAGCATTACACCTCCTAGGAACAGAACGGATTAGACGCCGGATTCTTTCCTGAGGGATTGCTCTCCACTCCTCCTGCAGTGCAACGGCTAGTGCATCCAACGTCTGCGGCGGCGGTGTACGTGCAAGTACTAGTCGGTACAGATAATCCCAAAGATGTTCGATTGGGTTGATGTCTGGTGATCGTGAGGGCCATGGTAACACGTTGACGTTAGAATTCTGGAGAAATTCACTGTTGCATGAACAGTGTGCGTCCGGGCGTTGTCGTGTTGATAGAGCTCCCTCTGTTGGTCGATAATCGGTAGAAGATGAGGCTGTAAAACGTCATTGATATAGCGCTGGACTGTCAAATTGCCACAAATGGTCACCAAGTCTGATCTTTGGTTGTAACACATGGCTCCCCACACCATGACGCTCCCTCCACCAAATCTGTCGACCTGCCGAACACATTTCGGGGCAAAACGTTAGTTTCCTCTTCTATAGACACGCTGTCTTCCGTCACGGCGTTGAAAGAGAAAACGTGATTCGTCACTAAACCAGACGCGCCCCCAGTTTCTGAGGGTCCATATCCGAACGTTGGTGCACCACCTGAGTCGTTGGTGTCGATGTTCGTGGCGTAAAACAGGTCCAATAAGTGGTCTTCTTGCACGTAGACCGGCCTCTCGTAGACGATTCGTAATTGTTTGTGCGGACACTCTTCTCAAACCTGGCACCTATGTTGCAGTGACGGTAGGTGTGGCTAGCCGATTACGTAGGTGGGTGACCCGGAAGAATCGATCCTGAGGTGGTGTGGTAACCCTTGGCCTACCACTTCTGGGGCGATCTTCAGTTGCATAAAACTGGGTATATCGGCTCCAAAGTCGGGAAATCGTTGTTTTATGAAAATTGAGGTGCCGGGCAACGTTTCCAAAGCTTTGCCCGGCCTCAATACGACCAATGGCGATATTTCGATCTGCAGCACTCAACCGTGGCATATTCGACCTTGTCTTTCGGTGAAAACGATAGAGTGAATTGCTAATCAACACGTGCTTTTATAAACCCATACTTCTACTGCTCTTTCCATGAATTGCACGTGCATGAGGCTTTTGGCATGGGCCACGTGAAAATTTTGCTCACTATGATAAAAATAACAATAAAATGTCCTTGTGCACGAAAATTGGTGTGTTTGGGTGCTTACGTTAATAAACAGTGTACATGGTATACGTGCATATCAGAAAAACTGTATTTACAATCAACATTTTTCTTCTTGGGGCTTTCTAACATTTTCACTCTGGGGTTACGTTTCTTTTTTGAGAGATTGTAATAATTTCAGTTTAAATATGGAGCTTGGAGTGAGTGAGTGAGTATGGTTTTACGCCGCTTTTAGCAATATTCCAGCAATATCACGGCGGGGCACACCAGAAATGGGCTTCACACATTGTACCCATGTCGGGAATCGAACCCGGGTCTTCGGCGTGACGAGCGAACGCTTTAACCACTAGGCTACCCGACCGCCCTGTGGAGCTTGGAAGACAGTTACATTACATAATGAACGATAGTGCGCTTTCTGTTTCCAAAAACCAGTGTAAATATATTGGATTCCATGTTATTTTTACATGTGAATAATATGCCACAATAAGAAGAAATACCTCTTTCGATATTACACTGAATCTCCATCTCTGATGAAATTCCCACAGCTCATGCAAACGGGTGATACACTTATCCTTTAAACAAGTCCAACAAATTATAATAAAATAAGAAACACAAATTAAGAAACACCTAAATACCCATTGTTTCATGAATGAATATGTTATATAAATTTTACTCCAGCATACGTGATTTATCAGTCTATTTTAATGTTTACTGAACAACAAAAGTTCCTGTGACATTGAATAAGATTAATGCAAAGTTATGTTTTTTACCAAATCTGAAACAATTTCGGTTTGCAACAGACTCCTGTAAGTGTTCAAATGGTTTAATTTGCAATACTGACTTCAGAAAGTGCGTGATTTAAAAACCCCAAACATGAACATGCCAAAATGTCAATTAACAAATCAATGGCGTGTGTGTCCACCTCTGATTGCGATGCAAGCAACACATCCTCGTCTCATGGAATGGACCAGGCGTCGCACAAAGTCCTGTGGGAGATCTCTCCATATCTGATGGAGCATGTTTCGAAGTGTCTGTGGAACACATGGTTGACGTCGAAGGCGCCGATCCATCTCATCCCAAATGTGCTCGATTGGTGAGAGATCAGGGGAGCGAGCCGGTCAGGGGATGACATTCACGTTGTTTTGTTGAAGAGAATCCTGAACAAGTCGAGCAATATGAGGCCGGGCGTTGTCATGTTGAAAGGTAATGCCTGAGCCATGACGACGCAAAAACGGTAGAACAATGTGGCTGATGATCTCGTCGCGGTAGCGCTATCCATTGAGATTTCCCTCTACCACTATCAAACGGGTCCTCTGTGTTGATGTAATCCCATCCCATACCATAAGGCTGCCGCCCCCGAACGGATCTTCTTCCATGACACACTGATTGATGTTTTGTTCACCTCCACGTCGGTACACTCGAAACCGTCCATCGCTGTGGCTGAGGTGAAAACGAGACAGTGAATAGAACTTGTCCCCACTGCATGGCCGCCCAGCGTGGACGCTGTCTGCACCACTGTAGAAATACTTGACGGTGGTTTCTTGTCAAAATGGGACGTCTGGCGGGTCTTCTGGCGACAATCCCTGCACATCTAAGGCGACGATGTGCGGTTTGTAAAAAAATTCGTCGAAGGCCAGGGATGCTTCTTGCAGTCACTGTTGCTGGCTGGAATCGATTTCGCAGGTGTGTTGTTCGAATCCAGTTGTCTTGTCGATTATTGGCTACGGGTGGCCTGCCACTCCAAGGATGGTCTCTGACAGTATTCGTCTGTTGCCAACGTTGCCATAAACACCAAATTGTGTTTCTGTGGACGTTAAATTGTCTTGCAACATCACGTTGACGCGATCCTGCTTCAAGCATACCAATAGCTCGTAGACGCTCATTTTCGGACAGGCGTGACGTTTCGTAATGTTGAATAATTGCGTAATTTTGTTGTTTTTCTGAGTGGTTGTCAGCACGATGCTAAACGACGCATATGGAATCCCGTTAACGCACATGTTTTTATACCCATTCTTGGGTTGTGAAATGCATGGGGCTCGCATAAAAGTCAACTTTTGCATGGAATGCATGCTTTTCTGTAGCAGTTGCGTTTTTTGTGACTTGATTCCATACATGAACTACAATATTGAAAACCAAACTTTCCTTGTTTGAAAAATACACTAAAATATTGGTGTCACAGGAATGTTTGTTGTTAAATATATTATGGGGGGCACGGGTGGCCTAGTCGTCTAAAGCGCAGCTATTCACTGTGCAGAGTTGCGTCCCTTGGGCACGCCAGAAACCTATGATTGTGGGTTCGAATCCCGGTTCGCCCCGATTATGTTTCTAGGTTTGTCAGCACCATACCCGTGCTCATGGGTTTCACCGAAGTGGTAAACGTCTGAGACCTGCATCACTTCGGGCTTTCCTCCCACATTAAGCTGACACGCCGCTATATAACTGGAATACTGTTAAAAGCGGCGTTAAACACAACTCACTCACTCACTTAATGTATTATGGGCAAGTGGTCTTTTACAGATTAAATTGTCTGTCTGTATGTGTGTCTGTGTCTGTCTGTATGTGTGTCTGTGTGTGTCCGTCTGTCTGTAACCACCAGAATGTATGCTTCAACCTCGACCCTGTTTCATCGAATGTTGACCTACATAACACAAGGCACAAAGGTCGGTAATCTTTATCCAAGATCAACTACAGTGTCAGTAAAAATCTAAACCTGTCTGAAAAGCATACATAGGTTTTGAGTTGCGTCGTAATCTCGTCAGCAGTAAACTTTATCAGTCTCTCGTGTCATGCCCTCAGACATATGAGGGATTGGTCTTCAGAAGCTTATCGTTTGAGTTTTTAATCATTGTAACGTATTCGTGAGAAAGGACATGTAACCATTATGTAACATATCCACTAAGAGTGAGTGAGTGAGTGAGTTGGGTTTAACGCCGCTTTAAACAGTATTCCAGTTATATAGCGGCGTGTCAGCTTAATGTGGGAGGAAAGCCCCCAGTGATGCAGGTCTCGGACGTTTACCCCTTCGGTGAAACCCACGAGCACGGGTATGGTGCTCACAAACCTAGGAATATAATTGGGGCGAACCGGGACTGGACCCCACAATCATAGGTTTCTGGCGTGCCCAAGGGACGCAACTCTGCACAGCGAATCGCGTCGCCTTAGACGACTGGGCCACCCGTGCCCCCGTATCCACTAAGAGTGTCAGAAATAAATATTTAATTTATATATGCAAACAAGTATAACCCTTCAAAGTACTCATTACAAAAAATATGAAATTAATCGTTCATGATCTTAAAAATGTCCAGTACACTGCTAATCATGCCACATACCTGAACAAAGTAACAAAACGAAGAAGACAGAGTCACCCATTGCCCCGCCATCCTTGCAAGCTTACAGCTATAATTACCTAATCTTAGATTTCTGTGAAAACGACAAACATCAGTCCTTTAACAGATTATTATCAAGGAAAACAATGAAATGTTTGGCACTAAAAACAAATTGTACGCGCTTTTGAAGTTGTTGCAAAGATATTTTTTTCAAATTCACAGACTATCGACATGCACCAGTTCAGCCCTTGCCTGAAATACATGCAAAGTTTCGTTAAGATATGTTAAACGTTTATAAGGTTTGTTCTTGAAACGAACCTTACTCTTATTTGTGCAAATACAGAACAAGAAATAAACAAGGGTCATAACTATTATTAAACTTGATAACATATTCATAACCTACTGATTTATTAGTAGGTGTCATCCATCGTGTTTTCCAGGAAATGTTGTCCCCACTTGCGTTACCGTGCACCAATGGCAATAGCTCAAACAGGGGCCATAACTCTTGATATAATACAAATATATTTTCGATTCTGGTTTTTGAACTCAGCCCACTGTGTGTGCTGTATTGCTCTGAAATTGAATGATATAACATATCCACATCCATTTTTAGGTTGACCTTTGTACTTCCACATATGAAGCACATTTGTTAAATTGGTCACACACATTAATAAATGTAACAATCAGTACCCATAGTATATAAACTTGTACACAAAATACAATTCAAATTGCAATCTCGACATGATTTGACATAACATCTTCCACAGCTCACAATCAGGCACAGATCACACAGTTAATAGTTAACTTTCAAGTTTAATCTTACAGTAGTCAGCAGCATCCATACATATTATATTGCATTATATTATATTATATTATATTATATTATATTATATTATATTATATTATATTATATTATATTATATTATATTATATTATATTATATTATATTATATTATATTATATTGCATTATATTATATTAATATAATATAATATAATATATTGCATTATATTATATTAATATAATACAATATAATATATTGCATTATATTATATTATATTATATTATATTATATTATATTATATTATATTATATTATATTATATTATATTATATTATATTATAATATATTATATTATATGATATTATATTATAATATATTGCATTACATTATATTATATTATATTGCATTGCATTGCATTGCATTGCATTGCATCGCATCGCATTGCATTGCATTGCATTACATTACATTACATTACATTACATTACATTACATTACATTACATTACATTATATTCTATTCTATTGCATTATATTATATTATATTATATTATATTATATTATATTATATTGCATTATATTATATTAATATAATATAATATAATATATTGCATTATATTATATTATATTATATTATATTATATTATATTATATTATAATATAATATATTATATTATATTATATTATATTATATTATATTATATTATATTATATTTATTATATTATATTATATTATATTATATTATATTATATTTATTATATTATATTATATTATATTATATTATATTATATTATATTATATTATATTATATTATATTATATTATATTTATTATATTATATTATATTATATTATATTATATTATATTATATTATATTATATTATAAGTATAAGCTATAGACATGTAAACACATTAACACCTTTCCGTCTGTTAAAAGACAAAGTATTGTCACTGCGGTTTAAGATAAAACGCTGGGACAGCTGGCAATAACAAACGAAATTAACTGTTGTCGGAGATAATCGTCCAATGGAGCATTTCGTCGGATTCATCTTTAATATTATCCAAATAATTAAAGAATACCCTATCACTGACATTCAGTGATTTACATGTCTACCTATTTCTATTTTCAGATGGTCCAGGAGCACTCGCAAAACACACAATCAAAGACAATCGTCAAGAATGGAAGTGGCCATTGTTCCCGTGGGTTTGGTTTCTGTAGAAGTGGTAATTGGTCTCAACTTCCAAATACCAGCTTGTCTGTCACGATTCATACGAAACATTTTTTTGGTCACTGCGGCGTTAAGCAACTCTTATCACAAAGATCAGGAACGCTGCCTGTGATATATTTAGCTCTCGCTCTAGTAGCGACCTTACACAAACCTGTCTTTCTGTGTGACTGGTAAGTACAGATTTTAATATTCTTTGAATTAGAAACTGACCATTTGATATTTAATTATTTGAAAAAGCATTATATGTTTCTGATAATACTGGAAAGCATAATTCTATCATGAATTTGGAAAATACTCGATTTTGATTTGTCGATCAGAGGTGTCAAATCACAATAAACCCCCTCTAATTGAAACAGCCGATTTAACGGCTGCATCACCACGGAAGGTAATAAATTTAGAATAGTACGTTTTTCACCGCGCTAAATTCAACATTTGAAACCTCATGGTGCGCTTTTGGTTCCAAATCAGTTTAGCGCGGTTAAACCTACAGGTAACCTAGGTCTACATTGAAAACACAGTAGGTTTATCTCCTAATTCACTTCACTCTGCCGTGTTGTGTACAGAAAGTCTGCCCGGTTTCATCTTAATGCGGGGGGCACGGGTGGCCCAGTCGTCTAAGGCGCCGCGATTGTCAGCAACATATCCGTGCTTGTGGGTTTCACGAAGTGGTAAACGTCTGAGACCTGCGTCACTTCGGGTTTTCCTCCCACATTAAGCTGACACGCCGCGATATAACTGTAATAATGTTAAAAGCGGCGTTAAACCCAACTCACTCACTCATGAAGGCTGAAACAAGGACTGGTCGGCTCGGAGTCAGTATACTGTGTCTGAGTGGAGTATCCGCATCAAACTGCGACATGGTACCTTACATGGAATGGCACTATAACACTGGCATAAGTCCGGACTTGTACGAGCAGCCACGCCCAGGTGCATGCCAGTATACGTGCAATATGTTTTAACGCGACTGTCAAGGTGAAATGGACCTCAATCCTCCCACGTGCAGGTTGCAAGCCCAATCAGTTCATCTCGTCTTATACTGCCATTTACAATATTCATGTTTCTTTTTTACACAATGCTAGCACTTTAGTTTCATGGCATTAACGTGATCATTATTCAAAGCTGAATACATCACCGAGCATATTACCAGACAAGTCATTGTGTTTAATATCATAACAGTCAATCCATCAAACTCAGATCACACCTGAAATAACAGTAAGAATGTAGGTCAAGGGATAGATGCAGCATGTTTACACAAGCGAGTGCAATGTCGACATATGCAGAATTACATATGCAGAAATAATAAGGATATTACTTTTATCCAATAAGGATATTGGTTTGTATCCACATCAATACAATGAAGTAGCGGTAGTTCCCTTACATCATTGTATCAAAACAAGACAGACTCTTTTCGAAGTCACATTAAGCGAACAGGGATTTGCATACCATACATTCTGTTTGTGACGAGTTTCACAACCTCTCCAAAATCAGCTTTTAATCAGTTGAAATCTGTGTACATACCTTCGCGTTTGTATATGTGGCCTAACCCCTATGAGGGCATGTCTCCAGGAACATTGTGAAGTCAAGAGTGAGTGAGTGAGTTGGGTTTAACGCCGCTTTTAACAATATTCCAGTCACATCGCGGCGTGTCAGCTTAATGTGGGAGTAAAGCCCGAAATGATGCAGGTCTCAGACGTTTACCACTTCGGTGAAACCCACGAGCACGGATATGGTGCTGACAAACCTAGATCTATAATCGGGGTGTACCGGGATTCGAACCCACAATCATAGGTTTCTGGCGTGCCCAAGGGACGCAAATCTAAACAGCGATCCGCGGCGCCTTAGACGACTGGGCCATCCGCGACCCATGTGAAGTCAAGAATATGTGCCTATTTATTGTAATTGTACATCACATCCAAAAGAATTAACTTCTACTTGCCATAAGGATCTGTGTGCACTACGTGTAAAATCTGTTCTGATACCACCGTTCATGGTTTCATGAGAATAAAGAATCTAACGAGTAATGTAGATACAACTATGTTGAAGATGTGTACCATTTTATTCTAATATGCAAATGTTACCAGATTCTGAGGGCAGAATTTATAGCAAAGAAAATATAATGAATTTCCAACAAGGCAAACGTTCAACATTTAATATCATCTGTCCTTCGAGCAACTGTACAAAGTCTATCTTTGTTTATTGTTAAAGCCATGTATCTTAGACAATCACTGTTAAATACATAAATGTGATCCTCGAACTTCCACTGTACATTTTCTGCTTGTACATTTGTGCCTACACTACACTTGAATGAAGAACCTACAGGTCAATCACTGGGAATCTCTTGTGTTTACAGGTCAAGAAAGATGCGTGTGTTTCTCGTCCTGGTTTTAACCTCGGTGTTGGCTGACGCCCAAACGCAGATGTCCCACAGTATTCATGGGTTGAGTATTGTATCTTCAGATACCTTTCAGTTGAATAGCCCCTCTGGGCCCGGGGGTAGAATGTTTCCCCAGCACCCCCTTGCAAGTCGTTACTTAATTGGAGACCCAGAGTATTCCAGGTTAGAATTGGTTCCTACCAACTCATGTTGGTCGCAAGAGGCGACGTAATGGATCGAGTGGTCAGACTCGGTGACTTTGTTGATTGCAAGTCAACGTATCCAGACGCCGTGAATCGTTGCTCCTAATATCAATCACAGGATTGTCGATTTTTATAGGCCGCTTACATATAGCTGGAATATTGTCGACTACAAACGAACCAATATAGCAGGTCGATAAACCGAAAATTAACAACATTCAAATCGAAAAAAATAAATAATAAATATTCCTTACAAACACGAAGAGTAGATGAATACAGATACGCGAGTTTGTTTGCTGTTTAACGCATTAACGCAGTTAAAAGCATCACTGAGGTCTTCAATGTGGTAACCTTGATCAAACAACGCATGATGCTCTTTGAAATTTTCGAAGCAAGAACATGCCTGATTGTACCTTACCTTTGTTGGTTTGTTGTTTGTTGGTTTGTTGTTTAACGCCGCACTCAGCAATATTCCACCTATATGACGGCGGTCTGTAAATAATCGAGTCTGGACCAGACAATCCAGTGATTAATATCATGAGCATCGATCCACGCAATTTGGATCGATGACATGCATCAACCAAGTCAGCGAGCCTGACCACCCGATCCCGTTAGTCGCCTTTTACGACAAGCATAGTCACCTTTTACGGCAAGCATGGGTTGCTGAAGACCTATTCTACCCCGGAATCTTCAAGGGTCCCTTACCTTTGTCAAGTGTAGACACAACGCTCAGCTGCTGGCATGTTGCTGGGCGTAAAGGGAAAGATGACTATTGGAAAGTTGAAGTCATCCATCCCTCTAATACATGCAGTCATGCAGTCTTGTGGAGAGAAATGTGTCTTTCCGAATCTTTATGCATAGATTTAAGGATTGAAGTTGTATTTGTTGACGTTCATCAGCTGATGAAGACGTGAGCAGATTGCATGATGCAGTTCACCAGGGAATGGGACACAGCATCACACCACACCCGGAGACATCTACCCGAGGCAAGGGAGGTAACTGACTGTAAAAGTCCAGCTTCAACCCTTGCCGAACTAGGCTGGAATTATAGAGTAATATCTTGGCTGGACTAACGAGGCTATGCATACTCCAATCAAACTCGCGTAACGAAATCGACATCCGGTTCGTAAACTGCCGTGTGGATTTCGGTCGATTGCAGGATTTGCAAAGCATGTGTATCGTCAACTTAGGGTCAGCAGATACTTTACAAATCTTTCAATGTTTTTAATCAAGGTACTCACGTGATTTGATGCACTGTTTTATTAAAGTGTATATCTCGTTTGTCGATCATTTTCGCTAGGGCGCCGCCATGGCGTTTGAAGCAAATGCAAATGATATGAGAAGTGGAATAACTCGTAATAGCTGCTGGTGGCGCTACTATCTGGCCCTGAAATTCCAGTCTAGTTTGGCAACAGTGGAAACTGGACTTTTACAGTCAGTTAACTTCCTTGCCTCGGGAAAATAATTGGAGACGGCCTAGAGTCGTTTGAAATGTATAGATTTAACTTAAAATCAAATATAACCGACAAGCCGCTTTAGTTTTTACATGTATCCAAGAACAAAAATACAAATGTTGATATATATTACCAAGTGTCAATGATGTATGTTCAGAATCGCTGACGATAGGAGCCTAAACGTAAATAGATTTCTATAGTCCGTTTCTGCTTGCGTTGTCCACCAGCAGTATGCACAACACTGTATCTCACAACTGAACTCGTTATTCCATAGCGGGTAAACACAAACCCACTTCACCTGAAAACTATAAACAAAGGTCACGTACTAGCTTTTAAAATCCATATAGCCTATACCACCGGGTCCATCCGACAAACACTCTTCATGGGTCTTGCAGAAAGACAACAAATGGGGGCTATTCGTATATTTATAAGACGCTTCCTTCGGTTAATATATCTGAAACCAAATGTAACCGTCAGCCTTACTTTTAACATGCATGCAAGAAAAAAAAGAGTGCAACATGCTATGTTGATATTATGATATAAAACCAGGTTTCAATGTTTTCTATACAGAACCGTTGAAAATACGAGTTTAAAAGTAAGTTTCTGAAGTGTCTACAATCTCTGTCTCACCACAACATGACATTTCAGATCATGTCAGATCACAGCTTGGTGTATGTTGCGTGAGTGAGTTTGGTTTTATGCCGCTTTTAGCAATATTCCAGCAATATAAAGGCGGGGGACACCAGTAATGGGCTTCACACATTGTACCCATGTGGGGAATCGAACCCGGGTCTTCGGCGTGACGAGCGAACGCTTTAACCTCTAGGCTACCCGACCGCCTCTGGTGTATGTTGAACATATGGGAATCATACATTGGATTTGTGAATGCATTTCAATATTGACAGACATCTGCAGGTACTTAACAGTGCCAAGCCTGATATAGTTATTGGATAGTCTGTAAGGAACAATAGGTTAAAAGAGATCGTTGTTTTAAGTGAATTATATTTTCTCTCTGGAGCCTTCGGAGCTATGAAAGGCACGGTAAGCCAAGTCGTCTAAGGCGCCGCGATTTGCTGTGCAGACCTGCGTCCCTTGGGCGAGCCAGAAACCTGTGATTGTGGGTTCGAATCCCGGTTCGCCCCGATTATGTTTCTAGGTTTGTCAGCACCATACCCGTGCTCGTGGGTTTCATCGGAGTGGTAAACGTTTGAGACCTGCATCACTTCGAACTTTCCTCCCACATTAAGCTGACAGGCCGCTATATAACTGGAATATTGTTAAAAGCGGCGTTGAACCCAACTCACTCACTCACTTCGGAGCTATGAGGCTGTAATAAGAGGTGAACATCAACAATCATCTCTATACGCACACAGAGTTTCTGGTCGAATCGGACCACTGGTTTCTAAGATACAGGTGGTTAAAGCAGTTGATTTTAAATAGAGAATCTGTTTGTGTGGTCAAAGGGTCATGTAGCTTTTAAGTAGTCTAGGGGAAGAAAGTGTTTATCTTCGTTGTCATTAGGTCTATAGTCTAAAGACTTACTGTTCTAGGTTCGCCGTGACATTGACTATCAGTCGCACCCATGCATGACCACCAAATATGGAAGGTTTCGAAGCGTTTGAGCTTATAGTTTGAGCTAAGCAAATTTTTAGAGACAAGGACTGAGAAAAATGGTGAAAAAATGGCCACAACCTCCAATCCAATATGGCGGCCAAACGAAATTGTTTGGCATCTGATTCCGCAGCCGCACAAAAATTCTTTAAGCTCTCGGAGTGTTAGTTTCTGAGGTATGAACTATTAAAATTGATTTTTTAATTAAGTTTGAATTATCTGCCCTTAATCCTTGAACCGAGAGCCTTGAGATATTTGTGGGCACTGCTTTAGGACTTGGATACCTTGGTGAATTTGTTAAAGAGCTTCTGGTTACTTGTTCTTGAGTTATGACTGGTACCAAAAACGGCGGAATAATAATATTTAGAACGATTACAATAGAGCTCTTGCCTTTCATCACATATCAGGTTGATGTGGAAGCGAATCCCGATGTGATCCAGCTTTCAAACATCTACCACTTTTGTGAAACGCACGAGCACGCATATGGCGCTGACAAATGTTGAAACCCAATCAGGACGAATTTGGTATTTGAACCCAGAGTAATATTTCTGGCACGCCATAGGCACGCAGCACTGCACAGAGAATTGTGGCGCCTCAGACGATTTGACTCCGATTGACGCATTCGTCACCACTCGCCCCTTTCCGTAAACTGCAAGAAGACTCGTCCCCCTATCGATGAATGTTATGTGCGAAAATACGACAAACCAATCAGAATGCGCGTATGTTTTCAAGTTCTTCGTCAAAGAATCCCTCAGAAATATTTTTTGATTTTACATATGGCTTGCATCTAAAAATATACCCAAGACACAGTTAAATGTGTTCAATCATACTGCATAATTCCGCATGTCCCGATGTGCTTTAAATTGCATCTGAAATATATATAATATATTGGGAAATGTTAGTGAACCATTACGCAACGAGTTGACAATTGTTTTAGGTATGCCCGTTTGCGCTGAGACGGAACCCGGTCGCAAAAATGGCCATGAGAGGGGAACGAGTCGCTATTCGGCTTGTCCCGGAATAACACGAGTTGGTCGCGAATGCGATTGACGAAGAACTGTTTCATGTTGCAGGTCGAGCCTGATGCACGTCTTTATGATGCAGAGCCACCACGCAGCCTTTGAGCTCCTGGACACCAACGGTGACAACTCTGTCACTCTCGCAGAGTTCGAGAATTACTACGATCAGTATGATCTCCACGGTAAAGTATACTTCATACAGCTGATATGTATATTGTTACTGGGTGTTTTCGAATTGAACACAGAGGTTAACCAAGCAATCGCTTAGCAAAGAATAAAATTATGGAATCAGTAAATACTCACACAAGATCAACAAATATTTAATTGATTCAATTTAAACACAGTCTGGGGTTTACAATCACAAAAGGCAATACAGTGGGTCAAATAATGGTAGCAGCAATAGTTGAGGTGAAATGGGGTTTAACGTCGCGTCCAAGATTATTGCACTTATATAGCGACGTGCATGTACGTGTGTGTGTTTGTGTGGCTGCTTGTGCTAGTCCGGATTGATGCCGATTTATATTGCTAGCTCATTGAGATACAATGCCGCAGTTTAACATGAATACCCCACTCAGACACAGTTTACTGACTCCGAGCCGACAAGTCCTTGTTTTAGCCCCTTAATGCCGAGCGCAAGACATGGTAACAACAAGTACCATATTTTAACGTCTCTTTGTATGACGCGGCCGGGGATCGACCGCTCCGGACCTTCCGCTCACCGGTCGGACGCTCTACCACTAGACCACGGAGGCAGTCGGTAGCAGCCTTAAGTAGTAGACCCTTTCATTAATGTATATGCACTCACGAATATTGTCACTGTTGCCGGCCTCTTTGCTTGAATCCAGAATAGTATTGGAAGCTGGCAGGAATATGTTTACAAATGAGTCCCCAATCCGCACTTGGCAATCACATACGATGCACGTCAGGTCGTAGAAGGCATATCCGATCTTTAATGTTTGGAGGCCACTGTCATACATGGAGTCATCTCCTCGAGGCAAGTGAGTTGACTGACTATAAAAGTCCAGTACAGTATCCACCCTTGCCGAACTAGGCCGGTATTATGGAGTTACATTTTGGCTGGACTAACGAGTCTGTGCATAGTCAATCAAAATCGCGCACCGAAATCGAAATCCGGTTCGTAAAGTGTCATGCAGATTTCGGTCGACTGCAGGATTTGCAAAACATGTGCACCGCTAACTCGTTGTCAACAGATATTTACTAAATCTTTTCACGCTTTTAATCAAGGTGCTCACGTGATTTGATGCACTTCGCGATGTAAGACTCGTTTTATCACAATATAGATCTTGATTATCAATCAGATCGTCTTGACTGGGCGCCACCGTTTTGTTTGAAGCAAATGCAAGTGAGACGAGAGGTTGAATCTGATTGGTCAATAGGAGAGGCATAGAAAGGACATAACTCGTAATAGCCACTGGTGGCGCTACGATCGAGCCCAGGAATTCCAGCCTAGTTAGGCAAGGGTGGAAACTGGACTTTTAAAGTCAGTTAACTCTCTTGCCTCGGAAAGATGACATGGAGTTGAACACGCGACTGACTGAACGTTATGTTTTTACAAGGAAGTGATGACTATAGTAAAGCTGACTATTTTTCACCCAGCTAAAATATTTTCTTGATTGTAACTTTGAAATTCTATTTTATTTCAACTATCATGTAATTGGTATTGAAGTAAGAATATAAAAAAAATGTAAGGAGGAAGTTTGGCAACGACAGCACTTGACGCCTTTCACTAGCAGTTGAATCATCTGCTACCACAGACACAATCACAAAAGAAGTCTTTTCTACTACAAAAACCACCCATACGACAATAAAGTGAGTTTGTCTGTTGTCACCGCATTCAGCAATCCTCCATCTATATGACGGGGACAAGGACCAGACAATCCACTGGTTGATGTAATGAGCAACGCCCCACGTCTTCATATAGTTGGAATATGGTTGAGTGGATCGCTGAACATCAAACAAACATGGTCGCATCTCTGTATTCCCTCTTCTCTTCGTGTTCGCAAAGGCTATCAAAAAACAAATTCGGTGTTTTTCAATTTATCGAGTCATGAATAGCTTTTGGTTGTTTGCCTTTGCCAATAATCCAGCTGTATGATAGTGGCCTGTCTGGACCAGAAAATTCAGTGGTTGATATTGTGAACACCAACGCCGTTGACACAATGGCAGGCAATCAACCAAGTCAGCGAGGCTGACCACCGAATCCACCAAGTTGCCTCTGACCCAGGATGCTGGGGACCTATTCTAACAAGGGATTCCCACGGGGTTTATATATTTGTGGTTGTCAACCAGGCGATGGCCTTATCACCGAAGCCGAATTCATCCAGACAACCGGCATGAACGCGATGATGGCCCGCAATGAATTCAATTATATTGACGAAGATAAGAATGGTGTCATCACTAGGGCAGACATCTCAGACATCTACAAAACATTCGACGTCAACCGTGAGTACATGTATCATCGTCTCTGCCTTCTATATTGCAAAAATGTATATGTAATTAAGAGTGAGTGAGTGAGTGAGTATGGTTTTACGCCGCTTTTAGCAATATTCCAGCAACATCACGGCGGGGGACACCAGAAATGGGCTTCACACATTGTACCCATGTCGGGAATCGAACCCGGGTCTTCAGCGTGACGATCGAACGCTTTAACCAGTAGGCTACCCGACCGCCCCTTATGTGTGTAATTAAGAACTACAAAAGCGGAAACAAAATACAGGTACCAGGTCATTCTACCGTAGATAATCATGCTAATCGCTATAATGGTAGTAGTGGCATCAGAAGTAGTAACACAACAAACCGATAAACATTAAATGGAATATATTGTAAACGAACTCTATTTTACACGCACAAATTGAACTTCAGGAAATAAGTTAATCGATTTTTAAAAAACGATGACTGCTTCTGATTAATTGTGTCATGTCGATGTATTTATGATGTAGATGATAACGCAGTTACCGAAAAGGAGTTTGTCGACCGTTACGGAAAGGTAAGCTCTGAAAAGTTTTCGAATGGACACAGTCAGATGAGGAATTCTTTTGTCTATTACACATGGAACCTTTTAGAAATCAGCAAAGTTGTGAGAAATCGTTATGAATAATAATGATACAGATGTGGTCATGTTGATGTGAATTGGACATTTTTCCTCATAATGTTGGCATATTTGGATTTATAAGAACACAGCAAGATGACATATGAACATATTTGATGACATTCATGACAATTATTTTATGATTTCTGTAGTTTCAAAGTGTTCTTTTTCCAATGGGGCACAAAGGCTGTCATACCCCTTCCAAATCGTTTGTGTTTTTCACAAGTTCAACAAAATAACTTCTGTGCTAAGTCCGAACAAGGTGTCAATTATTATTGCCATTATATGTGTGAACCTATCACATTTAAATATATTCACTGTTACAGATAATGAGCATTGCTCATCAAGGCATGAACATAGGATGAAGAAGCAGATTCTAATGTATACTAAGTAATGTACTGCGTAATTTTGGATTAAACATGTTCTTTGTTCACTGTCGAAAGACATTATGTTGGACATATTCCCTTAAAACTGAAAAACTTGAGCAAAATAAAGATTGATTATGATACAGTTGAACTATATCAGAATGCACTGCCAATGGTACAGATTGCTAATGAAAGGACGTATCAGATGGCAGTGTCAATATTTGCCAGGTTAGAAGGGAAGGTGAAAGGACGTTTCAGATGGCAGTGTCAATATCTGCCAGGTTAGAAGGGTAGACGAAAGGACGTATCAGATGGCAGTGTCAATATTTGCCAGGTTAGAAGGGGAGTCGAAAGGACGTTTCAGATGGCAGTGTCAATATCTGCCAGGTTAGAAGGGTAGACGAAAGGACGTATGAGATGGCAGTGTCAATATCTGCTAGGTTAGAAGGGTAGACGAAAGGACGTATCAGATGGCAGTGTCAATATTTGCCAGGTTAGAAGGGGAGTCGAAAGGACGTTTCAGATGGCAGTGTCAATATTTGCCAGGTTAGAAGGGGAGTCGAAAGGACGTATCAGATGGCAGTGTCAATATCTGCTAGGTTAGAAGGGTAGACGAAAGGACGTATCAGATGACAGTGTCAATATATGCCAGGTTAAAAGGGAAGATGAAAGGACGTATCAGATGGCAATGTCAATATGTGCCAGGTTAGAAGGGACGACGAAAGAACGTATCTGCTGGCAATGTCAATATTTGCCAGGTTAGAAGGGAAGATGAAAGGACGTATCAGATGGCAGTGCCAATATCTGCCAGGTTAGAAGGGAGATGAAAGGACGTATCAGATGGCAATGTCAATATTTGCCAGGTTAGAAGGGTAGACGAAAGGACGTATCTGCTGGCAATGTCAATATTTGCCAGGTTAGAAGGGAAGATGAAAGGACGTATCAGATGGCAGTGCCAATATCTGCCAGGTTAGAAGGGAGACGAAAGGACGTATCTGCTGGCAATGTCAATATTTGCCAGGTTAGAAGGGAAGATGAAAGGACGTATCTGCTGGCAGTGTTAATATTTGCCAGGTTAGAAGGGTAGACGAAAGGACGTATCAGATGACAGTGCCAATATCTGCCAGGTTAGAAGGGAGATGAAAGGACGTATCAGATGGCAGTGTCAATATCTGCCAGGTTAGAAGGGAAGATGACAGGACGTATCGGATGGCAGTGTCAATATCTTCAAGGTTAGAAGGGAAGATGAAAGGACGTATCAGATGGCAGTGTCAATATTTGCCAGGTTAGAAGGGTAGACGAAAGGACGTATCAGATGGCAGTGTCAGTATCTGCCAGGTTAAAAGGGAAGATGAAAGGACGTATCAGATGGCAGTGTCAATATCTGCCAGGTTAGAAGGGTAGGCGATAGGACGTATCTGCTGGACAGTAGAAAGAACGTTGTAAAGTTTTAAAATGTATAGGATTATAGGATTATTTTAAGGAGACACTTTTATGGCATGACAATGAATCTGAAAAGATGATGAAATATTTAGCTCGGTTTTGTTGTTTAATACAGGCCTAAGCTGTTCGTAATTGGTTATGTTCCTGTTGATATACCAAAGGATTAGTTCAGGATTTTGTTCAGCTGGGTGAGGGTAAGGTCTACTTCTGGCTTCACTATCTGGCAGGGAAGAGAAAACAGAACTTAAACTGTGAACCAAAGTATCTTTAGAAAGTCCACAGGGTTTATCTCAGCGCAATTAAACAATCTAAATGTCCTAATTTAAAACACTCAGTATAGTAAGGAAATTACTAATGCACAGCACGTCATTGTGGTCTCACGTTCCCCATGTGTTTCACTGACCATCCGATATTCTTGGAGGGGGAGTTGCCCAAACATTCCTCAGCTTCCCCTTTCAAAGAACTAACTTGGATGCATTGAACCGCTGATTAAAGACGTAATTCAGAGCATTTAGTTTGATTGGTTTGTTAAAGAGTGAATGCAACCGTGAGCAGGAAAATCAGTTTATTATTAGTGAGTGAGTATGGTTTTACGTCGCTCTTAGCAAAATACTACCATTACACCGCGGGGGACACCAGAAATGGGCTTCACACATTGTACCCATATCGGGAATCGAATCCGGGTCTTCGCCGTGAAGAGCGAACGCTTTAACCACTGGGCTTCTTTCCTATGCATTTAATAATGCCCTTTCCAACAGCCCCAAACTGTACGATAATGCACGTGCAAGTAATGTACAATACAATAATGCACGTGCAAGTAATGGACAAAACAATAATGCGTGTTCAAGCTGTAACCATATTTACAATAATTCACGTTCAGACAACTGACCGGTACATAATAATGCACTTTCCAAAAAACCCAAACCGTATATAATGCACGTGCAAGTAATGGACAATACAATAATGCACGTGCAAGTAATGGACAATACAATAATGCGTGTTCAAGCTGTAACCATATCTACAATAATTCACGTTCAGACAGCTGCCCGGTACATAATTATGCACTTTCCAAAAGCCCAAAAACTGTAAATAATGCACGTGCAAGTATTTGACAATACAATAATGCACGTGCAAGTAATGGACAATACAATAATGCACGTGCAAGTAATGGACAAAACAATAATGCACGTGCAAGTAATGGACAATACAATAATACGTGTTCAAGCTGTAACCATATTTACAATAATTCACGTTCAGACAGCTGCCCGGTACATAATAATGCACTTTCCAAAAAACCCAAACCGTAAATAATGCACGTGCAAGTAATGAACAATACAATAATGCACGTGCAAGTAATGGACAATACAATAATGCGTGTTCAAGCTGTAACCATATTTACAATAATTCACATTCAGACAGCTGCCCGGTACATAATAATGCACTTTCCAAAAGCCCAAAAACTGTAAATAATGCACGTGCAAGTATTTGACAATACAATAATGCACGTGCAAGTAATGGACAATACAACAATGCGTGTTCAAGCTGTAACCATATTTACAATAATTCACGTTCAGACAGCTTCCCGGTACATAATAATGCACTTTCCAAAAGCCCAAAAACTGTAAATAATGCACGTGCAAGTATTTGACAATACAATAATGCACGTGCAAGTAATGGACAATACAATAATGCACGTGCAAGTAATGGACAATACAATAATGCACGTGCAAGTAATGGACAATACAATAATGCACGTGCAAGTAATGGACAATACAATAATGCGTGTTCAAGCTGTAACCATATTTACAATAATTCACGTTCAGACAGCTGCCCGGTACATACTAATGTACTTTCCAAAAACCCCAAACCGTAAATAATGCACGTGCAAGTAATGGACAATACAATAATGCGTGTTCAAGCTGTAACCATATTTACAATAATTCACGTTAAGACAACTGACCGGTACATAATAATGCACTTTCCAAAATAAGGCACGTGCAAGTAATGGACAATACAATAATGCGTGTTCAAGCTGTAACCATATTTACAATAATTCACGTTCAGACAGCTGCCCGGTACATAATAATTCCTTTTCCAACAGCCCTAAACTGTACAATAATGCACGTGCAAGTAATGGACAATACAATAATGCGTGTTCAAGAAGTGACCATATTTACAAGTTCACGTTGAAGAAATCGCTCATATACAATAATTGCCGTGCAGATAATGAATTAGTATACAGTCAAGCATGATGAAGCAGTGATATATATTTATATATTTAAAAAAGTGCGCACAAAAACCAACAAGGATACACAAACACAAGCTAAAGTAGTGGTCAAATAAACAATAATGCACGTTTTAGGTAATACTCAGTTCGACAAAAATACCTTTTTGAAGCGGTAAACATATTCACAACAATGCACACTCGAACAGTCACCAACCATAAAAAAACAATATCCCCCGGTCTGGTGCAATTCGGAGTTTGGCTACTTTTACACTTATGTTTCACTGCCATTGAATACATTCAGTTCCGTGGAGAAAAATAATGTTGTTAAGTATTTCACTGCCCTCATTTTCAGTACAGTTCAACTTGCTGATATGAAAACATAAATAAATAAATACAACACCCAAATCATCAAAAGGCACCAGTTCACCACCAGACTGATCTGTACAGCAAGTTTCATCAAGAAATAGTTAACACTTTTGGAGTTCTGCTCCGAAAATAGCACTACCTTAATTTTCAGTAGGTTCAACTGGTCGTCATTAAATAATAATGTCTACGTACACATGGAAAAGATTTCAGCACTACAGCGCGTTTGCTGCAAAAACGTATCAAAGTAACGTTAAATAAATATAAATACGAACGCAACAATTCGTCTTAAATGGCAAATCTTATTTTTTTGTCCATACCAAATCGTCAGCATAATTTCAGACATTGTCATGGATTTTTTGCATTTTCATACTGCAACGTATTGTTGTGATATATTAAGCTCGTTCTGTTTAATTTCTTATTTGTATTTGAAATTAGATGAGTACAATACAAACAGTATCGCTTGCACTGCATTTTACAGATTCTCATTGTATATTCCGTTTTATAACTACAAAAGATACGCTTCTGATTAAGACTTTTCATTTGACATTTTCTAACAGTTGTAGGTTGGCATAACATGTGCGAATGTTGGGCTGTTCTGTTTACAGTGCATATCCCCTTGTAACAACAGTCAATGTCAATGATAATGTCTGAAATTATGGCGACGAGTTGATGTCGATGGTTTATTGACGTAAAGGGGCCACAGGAACATTATGGTTGGTTTGTTTGTTGTTTAACGCCGCACTCAGCAATATTCCAGCTATATGACGGCGGTCTGTAAATAATCGAGTCTGGAGCAGACAATCCAGTGATTAATATCATGAGCATCGATCCACGCAATTGGGATCGATGACGTGCATCAACCAAGTCAGCGAGCCTGACCACACGATCCCGTTAGTCGCCTTTTACGACAAGCATAGTCACCCTTTACGGCAAGCATGGGTTGCTGAAGACCTATTCTACCCCGGAATCTTCACGTGTCAGGACCATTATGCAAATACAGGACAGTATTACGTACATTTGGACAGAGCGCAGAATATCAGC